TCATTGGGTGATTTTTACAATGTTTCTGCTATAACAATGTCAGAGTATTTTATGATCATTTGTTCTTAGCTTAAACATTTCCATATATGGACGGAATTAATGGATTTCTCTCTTGAAGGTAGGCAGAAAGTCTGTTTGTTTATGTTCAAAACACTAAAATGTGAAAAAATTCTTAAAAACTAATATTCGAAAAAGTATTTCTGATAATAGTACTTAAATAGCGAAAAATGAACTTGAATCTATTTTCATTAGACACAACTAAAGCTGGAAAGGTATTAATTTCGAGGATTCATTTTTATCTCAGGATCGAAAAAGCTACCCCATCATGTCAGAGACCCACATAATTATACTGGGTCATTGTATAGCGTATGCTATTTATGTCTTCCTATATAAGTAGTTAAAAGTGGAATGTCCGTGAGTAGAAGACTGAGAAGTTCGAAATGAAGAGAATAGTGAAGGGACATGAAAGCACTCAAGATAACAACAGGAACAAAGGAACAATGAAGCTTGTAAGAGACAATTCAAAGACGATCTGCAAACGATGTATTTGATGCATGATTTTCACATTTTATTACACCACCATGTGACTGTGCATTAAACAAGATCGTTCTTCTCCACTTGACTGTATGTTGACTGCAATGGTAAGAAATGGTTTCAACTTATCACAAAATAAGTGTGAAACAAAGACACCTTGGATGACTTCAATAACTTTTAGATCAGATATTAGGTATAAAGGTAAATCAAAGAAAAAGAAAGGACTTGTTATGTTTTTTACTGTTAAACTGCTTTCCTATTATCATTTCTTAAAATCTAAAATCGTAACTAATCCCCTTTTTACTGTCATTTTCATCATTTTTACTGGTATTATACAATAAAGATTTTTGCCTTCTACACTCTTTCATCATTGTTAAAACAAATTGTTTTGACGTTTAATTTTGTTTGCCTACTGAATTTACAATTAATATAATTTTGCCCTTAAATGTTGTTTTTATAAATCATTATGACACCTTAGTTCGGTTTGTTGAATTTGATAATTCGATATCATTTTAGCTGTCAATCTATGAGAAATGATGAAAATGAGATATATGTATATAGATATATATACGTGTATATTTCTCGATTGATAAGTTCAAAACAAATCTATTCAACTCAATTTCCTCCTCATTCTTTAATACTATATTTGTTTGCATACCTTCTTTACGGAAAACATCGCAAAGAACTGGCATTATACTAATGTATATACACATTTATATTTATTTGTTTATGTAAAAGTATAATAAAAGCAAAAGATAAAACAAATAAACATAAATCAATGTCACTTATCTGACTCACCGTCTTCTATTTATGATAATAAGAACGAAATTAGTTCGTCTAAGTCGTTATTGAATTCTTTATTCTCTAATTCTCAAGTTAAGTTACATAGATAATTATAACTTTGTAGATAACGAATATAATCACACATTTATTTAAACTTGGATAAATGAAAAGCAGGTATTGAATGATATCTATAGACTGAACATCTTACTATCACTGAGTTTGTTTCATTTCATCTCTTTCTCTAGAAATAATCTGTTGTGATTTTTTTTTAAAATATAAAGAAATATGTATTCTAGAATCACCTATTGTCTAGAAAATCCTGTTGAAAATGCATATGAAGAGGAGCGATACGGTGTAAAAAACGTTTATATTATGTTAAATCATCTAACAGACTAGAATCAAAACAAAAAAGCACCTTATACTACTATTGAAAGTCATGTTTATTGGATTAAATTCAAAAACTGTAATAGCTTTGTTTGAGATCGGAAATATACTACTTATTATAAAGTGTCATTCATCACAAAAGCGTGTGTTTAGCTACTTTTTATACCAATAATATGCATAAAACAACATATAATGTTTTCAATATCAAATCTCCAGAATTTACAACGTGCTCCAACAGTGATATGATACAACATTTACGGATTTATAATTGTGAAGGCTAAAGATGAAATTTATTTATATACTTTTTTAAGTATTTTGATTTACATATACTCGGTCTCATTAGGATATTTAAACCACAGATAAAATATACTCTTATTTTAAAACACTAGGCTTTCTCATTTCACACTTATTCATCTACTATGATCGATCATCATCGTGGTTTGCTAATCAGTGAAGTCAATTTTTTAAAATCAGGTTTTTACTGCATTGATGTATGTATTCGTTTAATAATTTGTGTGTTTTCATGACGCCTGACAACGAAACAGAAAGAATTTCGAAGCTTTAATTGAAACCTATTCAAATTACATTAGAGAAAGTTTCTTCTACAATGTACAAATAAATCCTGAAGGTTAAGTAACATCAATCGTTTAAATAAAGTTTAAACATTATTATTTTTAATTGTTCAATTGAGAGTCAGATTAAGTCATTTTTGGAATACGACCCTATAATATATTGATAGTGTACAGAAAAGTTTATATTTGTCATTTGACAAATCGCTTACTGATTTATATTTACATATTTCTAAGCTACAATTATTTAAACAGCCATTAATCTTCAGATAAATCCATTTTATTATTATTCATGTGTAAATTTGCTTTAAATAACACTTCATTGCGTTGAAAGCCTGTAATTGGTATACTCATAACTTTCTACAGATTATCTCGTTTAGACTATAAAACTCAATGAGGTGGTGTTGAAACGGGCCCTTCGAAAAGCTATGGACATTAAGATTTAAAATCAGTTTTGTATTAATATTGGTAAAACATTTAGAATCGTTATGTTTTCGAGGAATACAGGAATAACGGAGTTTGAAAATAACTTTTATGTTAATCGATGAAACAATGAACAACAAAAATTACGACTTTTTACTTCTCACTGATGCCGATCGCCATCAGATCTAGTAGCGACTGTTATAACTTTGGACCACTGGGTGAAAAATTCATGGACCCTATTATTAACTCCAGCCATTGTGTGATTCGATACAAGCAAAATAGAATTTTGCAAAATAATTTTATTCTCGAGATTCGATTTAGTTGGGTTCCGGATCAATTTATGATATTTAATGCAGACTGCGTAATATAAATAGAGTTCACAGAAATGAACCGTTAGATTTATACAGAATTACTCATCTGTATTGCTTCTGCAGCAATGTTTGGTTCTGAATTCTCATGGAGTCTTCAATGAAAATTTTTGGATAGTTCAATACCAGGACGAAACAGTTGTCTAGTGCTTCAAGTTTATACACGTGCATTTTGGCGTAAATTCACACACATATCTAAGTTATTTTAATTTGAAAACTATTTAATGATTATCAGTATAACTGTCTCGATTTGGTTATTTAATTATTATTTGAAGTTAGTTAAGAAAAACGATTTCCTGGTACAAAATACATTTTTTATTTTAAATAAGCTTTTTATCTGTAGACTGCATTAATATATATATGCTTATTTTGAATGAAGCATGATTAGCATTTAACCGTCATGGACATTTTACATTTAGATCTTGGCTTCTCAATAGTTCATACTTACGACTTTTAAGTCGTAAGTATGATCGACCTCTGAAATGCTGTGGTGGAAGACTATTGAATAGTTTTAACTTAGTATAATACGTCGCTCTAAGGCTAATTATTTTATAAGAATTCTCAGACTGGTATTTTTTTCTGATATAGTTTCTAAGTAACTTTGTCGTCAAAAATTATTGATAAATATCTCGATCTACGGTATTGATTTCACACGTTCTGAAGTGGAGATTTTCCTACAGTCTACAGTAAAACATAGTCAACTTGAAGTGAATACTCAAAGAATTCAGGATTATTTTTCCTCAGTATTGACTGAAAAATTCAATCCTATCTAATGGTAAAAACATAAATTAACTTATAAATCAATAAACACATTGTACTTATAACAACACACCCTTTTAGTCTATCCATGTCACATCCTTGAATATGTAAATATCAACAAATTATTAAATAATAAACTAAAAGAATTGAAGGTTATAACTGAAAAACAAACTCAATAATACATACAATAATTAGTTTCTTCTATATATGTATATTTTAAATAATACAATGAGAATAATAAAGTCTATCAAAAGTTATATTATATATAAGCGTATTACATTTCAATATAATCTGACCACCTATTTACTTGTTCATGATATTTATGTATAAAAAAGGTCAACTAAACAATGTGGAATAAATGAGAAAAACAAACATCATAAACATCATATGTTTATAATGACTAAAACTTTAATAAATTCAAATATTCTTTCTGCATTACCTTAATCAACTTTTGTGGTTTTGTATAGAAGATTAATTAGAAATTAATTTTATAAATAAAAATAGTCAGTAGTTAAAGAAAGAGAATAATTTGTTGAATAAAACAAAGAATTTAAAGTGATATTTACTAATATATGAGCGAGGGTTATTCATAAACGCTCGTAATCTAAGTATGTAAAAGGACAATACAACCTGTCAACGAAATATGGATTGTCTGGTAAATAAACTAAACACTTATATACAATATAATTTGACAAAATAAACATGATTAAGATTAATCCTAAGCGGCAGTGATTATTATAAACTAATCTTTTATGTTATTCATGAGTCTACGAAATTAAATAATAATTATCAGGTTTTCTTATCGTTGGTCACATTGAGATCTTGAAACATTTTAGACGAATATCTAGATTTGTTTCAATTGTTAGATCTTTATAGTTAAAATATCTCAATAATTCGTAGACAGTTGACAAATTTTCAGTATCTACCAAGCGTTATTTTCCCATATTCATATAACTGATCAAGTTATAATTCATATAAACAATTCATTTATGCTTTTATTGATCTCATGTGTCAAAACTTAGTTGCAGTCATATTTTTATGTTAAACTAAGGTAACATGCATAAATCAAGGTAACTGAGTGGTGTAGGTGAAAGCAGTGTTGATAAACCCATAGTTCAATGAATTGTTATCAGCGATTTTTTTCATTTAATCATCTGTCTGATTTTTGAATCCATTTCAGAAACGTACAACATTCATATTTGATAAAAAAAGGTTGGATCGAATCAATAAAAATCGGCGACAAGATTTAATTTTGCAAACATTACGAAATGATTTAATAAATTTAAACAAACTGAAGCATCCACGTTTTATACAACTAATACATGATATTGAAGAAACTAAGTAAGCAAAACAGAAAGTAGTATATTTGTCAATTTGGTTATAGTTTCTTTTCTTTTTTTGTGGGAAATTTGAAAAAAAGAGCCATAAATTCAAAATATTAAACATCATTCTATTAATTTGAATTTAATTTGTTTTGTCTAGATTTTTCTTTGTCAAAATAATCATACTTTATGCGACTAATTTAATTACATGTGTACATGAAATTTATGTCTAGATAAAGCAAATTGTTGTGACTGACCACCATCTCATTCCTTTTTCATCAAAGTTCATTATTTTTTCTTTGCTTTCCTGAATTAATAGGTTCACAGTATAAAAATAGAGTAATTATATTTTTATGGAAAATAAATTAGATGCGAATTCAAAGTTTTACATTGATGAAAGCCGAGAGTAAAGCGCTTTTTTTAAAATAAAAAAAATATTGTCATTTGACGGAATAATATGCTATGTAAAGAAACGTTATTGTTTTCTCGTATAACTGGCACTCGAACCCAGTACCGTTCGCTTGAAACGCCATCGCATTATCCACTCACCTACTGAGTGCTCATAGCCACCTACTTGTGCAATGTGGTCAAGTTGTATTGACTCGGTGTTGTTTACTTGTATGTTCGCATTGTTATTGATTAGTGCAATTGATCAGTCTGTTGTTGGCATATGTGCATGATGTGCGGACTGCCTCGATATTGTGTGAATTCACAAGGTGTATAAGCAAAGATGGGTAGTGGCTAGCAGTGGAATGCAGGACGTGCGTTTCGTGCTATTTGTGAATGGTCAGCTAGATGTGCCTACATCCCAAGAGTTGCTGTTCACAATAGTAAATAATTTCTATGTTGTTTAAAATTTGCATGATGGGTTAATTTTAACTGATCAAAATATGGATTAATTTGTAACTTGGTGAACGAAATCAATTTACTTGTAGTAAAAGTATCAAGAAAAGCGTTGCTATCAACATAAATATCTGATAACCATATCATTTGCTAAATCTCTTCAGAATTCAACCACCTTTTAAAACACAAGTATATTAACTATAAATGCACTAAAATATCAATGCCGATTTCTGTTTTCATTTTATTGCGCTATATATTCTTTAAACAAGATTAAATTTAGTTAGGAAAATTAAAAACTTTCACACAATACTTTTGTACGATAGAAAACAGAGTTTAAACTAAATTCGATTGAACTACAAGTACCATACAATTATCAAGAAATCATAGTATATTTCATTTAACAAGAATATACAAAACTGTCAAACCTATATAAACTAAACAATAATTCCAATATTAATTGTACTACAATGAGTGTGGAGACATAATGGATTCTAGAAGATTTTAAAATGAAGTTAAGATACAAAACTAAACAAAAAAAATTATTGAAAGAACATTCACAAATAACTAAGCCACAAACAATTTTTTTACTGAAGTACTTTTAAGATTAGTTTAGCTAACTCCAGGTTTTAGTGTTCTACACAATGAAATGAGATATATGTATGTCTTTGAAAGCTGTAAAACGCACAGGAGTTTCCAATACCTTGGGTGATTTTTATACTAATAAGTAAATAAACGTTTCATGAATTCCACTGGTTGAAATCATGTGTCAATTGAAGCTAGGCCACCATGGAAAACCTAGAAGCGCTGGACGGCCGTTTCGTCCTAGTATAAGACTCCTCAACAGTGCGCATCTACAATCCCGCCCCCCGCGAGTTTCGAACCCAGTCTCGCGCCAGGCGCTTGACTATGAATTATTAAGTCTAGAAAAATTATTGTTTTCTAATAAAAAATTCAATTGATCTTATAGTTGCTTAGAGATTATGCATCTAGACAACTAAAGTGAGATTAAATTGTAGCTCACCAATTTTTTCCTAGTCGTAGAAACAATCAGAACGTCATAGACTACTATTTAATACATGTTTTTTAAATTAACATACGAGCTCCAACTGCTTTTAAAAGTGTGGAAGAATAAAATAAATGACCATAGTTGATTTTGTTCTATTCATTACATAACAACTACTGTAAAATATTAACACTGTATTATCATCAAAGTTAACAAATGACTAATTTCAGTGATTCAGTTCAGTCACAAAAATTGCACAAAAACGTGATCGTTAGTGCCATATAAAAACGATATTTTTAAAATTCACACAGTCTCTTTAAGTGATTCGAAAGGGTGGTGGTACAACAATTCAATGGTTTCTTTTTGGTTTAGTCACATTATACTCACTTTCAAAATTGATACATGTGACTTTTTCCTTGGACCTGGAAACACTGTAAAGCTGATTGGTGAACAAGTTTGCTGAGATTTAATTCAGCCCGAAATGTCACACACTATCATTTTAAAGAATATGTTGTAATTAAGATTTCTGTTACATATTTTAAAAAGTATATTTTTGTAAGGAACTGAAAGGTAGTTTCTTTCGGTTTGCACTAACAAAGATAGCACGGTAATATTTATTTAGGGGATTTTTCGAGATGCATATCAGATAGTGGAATAGGTTTAATTCATAAGACCAGTTTATTCAAAATATACTATGAATAACTCAAGGGTACAAATCATAATATAAACGAGGAATAAATGAATTACCTAAACAAACAGTGAGCAACCCTACCTTGTAAATTTCAAAAGCAGAAAGACCAGTAATCATCAAAATAATCTAGTTTAGAAAAATAAAACATCTAACATGAAATAGTCAGTTTTTTTCGCAATTCATCGATCACTAAATTATCATTGGTATGTATTTTGAGCTGAAATGATAACAATAATCAGCCTTACAGGTTTTCTTCCCCTACTAAATGCAATTATTTCAACAAACATCAATGTAATCAACTATTAGAAATGTTCCTTCTACAATGGATTAGATTATTGCTTGTGAAGTTCAAATGAATGTAAATAAAATCGTTCAAATTTTTCAACTATAAAAGAATTCTACTTCTCAGTAAGTAAATGGCCTATTAAAGTCAATATTCAGTTGACAAAACAAACTAGATCTCATAGGCAGTCCAACCGAACGTCTAAACATAGAATTACATAAATGAAAAATCAATATTTACTGTACTATTTAGTTTAAACAAGCATCATAAAGACAAAGTTTTATATCAGATGGGTTTTGTAGATATTATAGTAATTTCAATGGTTAAGATCATGAGTCAGTTGAAGCTAGACTACCATGGAAAACCTGGAAGCACTGGATGGCCGTTTCGTCCTATTGCGGGACTCAGCAGTGTGCATCTACGACCTCACCTCCTGCTGGTATCGTGCTAGTGAATGGCTTCAGGTCTACTGTGAGATAGTAACTCACTGAAGACAATGATGGATGTGTCGCTCAATTTCGTAGATTAGTTGAAGTTAGACATTAACACCGTTGGATGCCGGCTCAGTGGTCTAGTGGTTAAGTGCTCTCACGCAAGACTGATAGGTCCTGGGTTCGAATCCCCAAGGGTGGGATCGTGGATGCACACTGTTGAGGAGTACCACAATAGGACGAAACGAGCGTCCAGTGCTTCCAGGTTTTCCATGGTGGTTTAGCTTCAATTGACTCATGATCTTAACCATTGAAATTAAGTGTTACATTTAGTTTATTCACAATTATAAAATAAATTTTTATATCACAATAGATTTTATTTGAATCTCGGCTTATTTGATTCTTACTTTTGTTTCATTTCCAGTGAATATTTCACTTTTATAACTGAGCCAGTAATAGGAAGTTTAGCAGACATGTACATAAATGATCAGGTATGTTTAAAATATATGACATTACCATTTTCACACTAATTCGAACATATTTTTTTTTCGTCTAGAAAAATGATTAATTAAATAAATCATGTGTTAAGCTAAAAAAAAATTGATTGGAAAAAATTGATTTTAGAAAATGAAAAAAACTGACTAAAAGACTTGGTATTAGAGTTGAGTACTTGTATGTCAACAAAGTGCTCACTGTTATAGTCGTTTTAAAATGAAGGATTCATGTCACTGTTTATTTTAATTTAGTAACATCAATATATTGTATTGAAAAATAATTCATTTCAAGGTCATAATAAGTTTACCACTGACTGATAGCTGTATTACTAGTGTTAAACTATAGATAAGCATTGAAATTACAGACCACTAGTAAATATCATAAACCATCGAAAAATCGTATATACTGCTAGATGTTTATGATTATTAATAAGAGAGAACAGAGAATATTATGTTCCTTGTCTATAATTAATAACTAGATATTCTCTATAATGAATTAACAACGTTTATTCATAATTCATCAATTTATTTATAAGGACAATCATTTCAATTAAATGACTAATATTTTCAATTTCCTTATGAAAATATTTTTCAGTGAGTAAATGACCTCTTAAAATAATTTTAACTAATTAAATGGATTATTGGGACTTTATAAATTAAGGATAAACATTGTTATACAAGAAACTTTATTGATCAAGTGGTTGTTTGAAGAGAAAAATATACATTCTAGTATAAGAAAGAAATGAATACAAGTATCTGAAAGGGCTGTCTAATATTTTTCTGAGATTAGGTTTAAATTAATGAAACCATAGTAACATCTAATTGACGATATATGAAGAAGAAAAGAAAGGATCTGTTAAATTAACGGTTTTAATTTATTTCAAAAGAAATTTCGCTTAAATAATCACACTATTATATGTGAAAATTATATTTGAAATAATCTCAGCGATTGAAATTTAAATAATTCCAACGTTTCGTCCAGCTAACTTGTCTGGACTTCTTCAGGGTAATAATCAAAATAAAACGTTGGAATTATTTAAATTTCAATCGGTGTGATTATTTCAAATATAATTTTCACACATAATAACTTCTCTCTACTTGGCACCCAATTTCTGTCAAACTCTTCGTTCTAATCTTGATGAATATTCGTATAAATCTAACTATTGTTCAAATTTATAGTATTTCATGAAAGAAAAATAACATACCAACTATTTAGTACATTGATAAACTTGAATTTGTTATATAGTTCCAATTATCTGTCTTACATTTATTTTTTAATAGGATTCGTCGTTTTGTGAATTAGAGATCATATTTGGAATATATCAGGTAATTTGATTCAACATAGATTATATCATTTCATATACATTTATGTATGACTTTTAAAATATCACAATAGTGAGGACTGAATTTGCGAGTTCATGTATAATACCCTAACGAGTTTATTGATAACAGTATGTTTTACTAAGAAAGATTGTGAAATTAGACAAGTTCTCGATGACGGAATGACGAAATATTTAATTTATGCGCAAGATATATAGAATGTAATTCGTCTTTAAACTAGTCTAAGCTTTTAAAAATCATGTACCATTCAGGAACACCAGATGTGTGTGACAGAACAATAGTACCATTTCTAATTAATATCTGAAATCAAGTTATTTGTTTTCTGCCCAAATTTTCGTCTGATGGTACTGTAGTGAACGAGAACACGGGTGGGGACAAACGGATGTATTTAGAACAACAATTACAGTCTATCTCAACAAAATCTGAATACCATATAGTAAATCGTCAATTTGCAAAATATTCACGCATCAAACCAAACTGGATTGATTCTGTTGCAAACACCAATCCATTGTCTCCCATTCCATTGTTCATAGGTTTTCTTACAAATTCCAATGTGTTCTCGCTCTACCTTTCTTGATCTTCGCCATCTTCCGCTGCCAAACATTACGTTCCTTTAACGCACGTTATATACTACTTATATAAATATAAGTAGCTCACACCACAGTACTATTAAAGGTTTTTTTTGCATTTAAAGCACATAGTATATATAAACTAAATTGTGAACAGTGTGCTCAATATTGTCACTTGTTTACTAAAGTCACTGACATTTTAGTTGCTCTGATGCCCCTAGTATTTTTAACTAATCGAATGTTTGCTGTAGTTGAAATGTCGTACCTGATTTGTTTAACATTGGTTTTTAGATTTTCAGATTTTTTATATTTTGGTTCAGCTTAATAGCTTAATATTGTCACTAGTTGTGTCTCATTAGTTTACTGAAATTTGACCTTTATTTTAATTCCAAGGTTGCAATTCATTATTTCGCTTTTATATTTTCTATCATAAAATAAAAAACCTATGAAGAAGTATTTTTCTTGTGCCCCGTTTGAATTGACGATAATCTGAAGTCTGAAACAGTTGATTATTATTATGCGAAATTATTAGTTCAAGACACAAGATGGCTGAAAGTCGTTTGGAAAAATCCTTGGACCTTGGTTTATGATAGTAGACACGCGTCCGTAGGGTACATCTGTAATCTTGAGGTAACTAATGCTCCCTGACACATTAAATCCTTGTCATCCAGCTTCAGAGTCAGAGGCGTTACCACTGAACTACTTAGACCGCAACTAACCTATGATAAGACTCGGGTACACATACAGTTGATCGATCACTGAGTGGTGCGCACATTAAAACATGACTATCAGCAATCCGTCGGTACTAAGACGAACTTGATGTACACTAAATCAATCTCTACTCAGTGAACAATCACTTGAAAATTCGAGGTACATTCTTCGTTTTGATTATCCGATTTTGATATTTGCTCGCTAATTCTATTTGCCATATACCGTAACATTTAAAGACCTTTACAAGTTCACCTAACTACTTAAAAACTTTTTTAGAAATTGATAACTTCATACAGTATGACATTTCGATATACCTTAATCCCATTGGAATGAAATATACAAAAATAATGTCAGCACTCCAAAACTCATTCTATACCAATAAAATGAGACTGACTAATTTTCACTAACGTATACAAAATACCTACAATTTTAGTTAGAAACCTTTCCGACCATTTTTTTTTCGATGAAGCTTTGGAGGAAACTCCCTTACATCAAGTAATGACAAGTTTTTGTATGATGAAATAAAAATAAAATAGGGATGTAATTCATTTGTTGACAAAGTACGGTATACAATTTTTTTCAATCACAACCATAGTTTATGTAAGGTCTCAATAATGAATTTTGTTCATGAATATTTCTTTTTCAATAAAACAATGAAATGTTAGTAAGACAGAAAGTTTTACTTTCATGATTATGGTGTACAAAGCATGACGAAAAGACGGTATATTGACCGGTATGATATATATTCATTTATTGTTCATTAATTTTCACATAATCCAAAAATTAGTGTATTGAGAACAATGTTGAGTCGTAACATGAAATTTACTAAAAACGTTCGTAACTATGGGAGAATAGAAATGAAGAGAATGTAGTGCATTTCGGTTATGGCAGGATTTGTTTCCAGTCATATTCAGAGGTTATTGTAACTAAATAACCTATTTAAAAAAGAGAGCTACGCCATAAACCATCTTTATTATTCCTATGTTATTTAGTTTTAATACATCAAGTAAACAGCTATTCACACTAATCTAAGATACTCATATTACTTATCTTTGTTGCCTTCATTAGTTTTCATTGCACTCCAAGGCAAATATCAAAAATACAATAAGTGATGTTCCTTATGTTTCATAATACAACTTATTTATATTTTCTTAGAGACATAAGCTTTCTGTGTTCTTTCTATGTAATATACTTAACACCTCCCTTTTCTTAATATTCACCTCACAGACTGTTTATTTGACCGGTTTTCCTACTACATGACTTCAAAAGCTACAGAATTTAAAAACGATGTCTATTCAACAAGTCACAATATTCGACCATTGAGTCGCAGACATATGAATGCATTTGCTGAAGCACTTATCAATCATATAATAATAATCATACTTTTTTTCATGGATGTATGAATCGATTTCTTTTCTAACATAGTTCGCTAGAGCAACCTCTCCGTTATTTGACAAAGACTTTGAAGTTTAGTATACATTGACCTGCTTTCATGCAAACCACTATACAATTGAATTACTGAATTTGATCGATTATTTAAAATTTGCACAGTTTATAATTACCGTCATAAAAATCAAAATTGATGTAAGTTATGTGGTGTCTTAAGAAGAAGTGGACAGTAAGACTAAGAAATTGTTTTAGTATGACTTGCATGATATCTTGGTTCATCAATATAAAATTGGTACTATTCTTGCCGTTCCATTGGATAAAAGACAACTCTGCCATTAGTAGGTAGATGCATAATTGGATTCTTTGGACGTCATCATATAACGTTTTTATATTTGCATGGATTACTCATTGGTTTAAATATAATTTCCCTATCGACTCCAGTGACTTATTCACGGCTGGATAATGCGGTTGAAGTGCTAAAACGTTACAGCTCTAAACTAGACGACGAATTTATAAATCTTATTCATCACATATTAGTACTTATATTAATCGTCATAGAGTATCACACTTATTGTAAGTACAACACTATCGACTGCAAAACGTATTCTGTTTATTACATCCTGAGACATGTATAATGAAATAAATAGGAATTAAGTTAAACGGTTACATAGCAACTTATTATCATTTCTTTTCATCTAGATTACAGACGCACTAAGATATCTTCATAGTACCCAAGAATTAATGCATTGTAACATAAATACGGCGTCAATCTTGTTGGTTAACAAGAGTATATGGAAATTGGGTGGATTGAATTTTCTAGAAAAGATTGTTGACACCACAAAGGTAATTTGAATCATTTTATCAAAAATAAGTTTGATGACTGATCTTTTTCCAGTGTTAAATTATATAAAATGCTCCAAGTCAATATCCTATATAACACATTGATAATGGGAAAATGAAGTTCAAATGATTACACCGAGATTCTAAATCATTAGATAGATGGTACCATCAGGTAGATTAAGTATCGAATTTCTTAAACATATATCGGCCTAAGTAAAATAAACGAATTAGTTAGATTTACTATGACAAATCTTTTAGGCAGAAGAATATGATATTTATCATCAAAAATTGTTCTATCATCTTTGTGATTTTCAAAGATCATTGTGCGAAAGATGAAGGTCAGTTTGTTAAAGAATTTAAGACACATATCTTTGATGCAAAAGATAAAACAATCTACTGCATCAACTATTCTCAAAGTAACTTTATTCTCCTATTTGTTTCCAGTCGAGCTAGGCAACATTCAAATCCAGTTGATCATCTGGATTCATAATTCATAATGGAATCAAAATGCAAGCATAAATTTTATAAATACAGGGATTGTATATTGAATACAAATAGATGTTCAATGCTTTTTAACATAAAGTTATTTGGTTTACCATTATATTGTTTTCAAAAACACAAAACAACACCAACACAAATTACTGCTGTTATTGTTGTATGTTTATTTTCAACCTTATTTTGAAGTCTCCTAAGCGAATAAAAGTTTATTTGGCACTGTCTTAACAGTAACAAGATAAAGAGGAGAAAGGTAAACTTTAATACATTGTCAAAATAAAATATAGCGTAACGATTCTATCAATGACATCATTCATTGCATAAATGAATTTTCAGGAAACAATTTAAGAAATTACGTAAGGTTTGCAAAGATTTTAAGGCGGTACATAAATAGCTATTGTCATAGTGATCACATACAATTTTACTAAAAAGAACCACACCAGATTCCTTGATTTCGATTACTGGTACAATAATTTATGACGCCTACCTTTGGATTTCTGCAATTTTATGAACGTTACTTTGCAATGTATAACATTACTGAGTACAATATTCAATGACATTATATTGCGAAGAAAATGTCGACTATTTATGAGCTACTCATCAACCACATTCTGTTAAAAAGTGATAAGTGGCAACTAATCTTGTGCAGAAAATCATTGTTAATAATTTGCATTTTTTACTCCTTCATGTTTATGGTATATTATTTCGCTTGACACACTCATTCAGTTTGGTTGATAAGCCTACTGGTCAACATCCGTTTGTGCAAGCCCTAACCTTGATAAGAAAGATTTACAACTGTAGTAATATATCTTAAGTATGAATTAATGAAAACCGCTTCATCATTGATAAACTGAATTAAATGTAATTAAAGGTTAATACGAAACTACTACTTTTACTCAAGCATAATAAATCATTAAAATTGATTTTCATTTAAAACAATAAAAACTATCAAATTTGTTGAAAAGTAGGTAACAACAAACTTTGGAAAAATGTTTTGCGACATATTTTTTTTAAAAAAAAATTACCATCAGTAGTAAAAATAGAATACAACCCAGTAAAACTTTAAACATCAATTTCTAAAATATAGTTTAGTGTTTGTTTCAGTTAAATTCTGACAAGAAGCATAGATTGTCATCTTGTCATTTATAAATAACTTCTAAAACAATAATAGATTGTTCATTTTCGAAATGATTGAAAATCTGACTATTTCAACTTAGTGATTAGTCAGAGTTTGCATAATGATAATAATAATAATAAGTAACTTCCGGTTGAAGTGTTCATCTGTCTTGCTTTGATTAAAAAACACTGGAAAACCTTATTGTATCACGAACAAAACACTAAGAATCAATGAAATTAAATAATCCGTCCCTAAAGGAATTCCTCAAAATCTTTATTCCGTTATTTAAATATAACCTTTTTAGAACTCATGGATAAATGTCAAATTGTCTCTTAAAATTATTTGGTCTTTGTTGATGAGTTTATTCTCTGAGTGAGCATTTAGCTCACAAAAAACAATACACTGTTGAAATGATCTTATTGATTTATCTGCAACGGATGCCCATCGGCAATTAAATACTTTCATCGCAACACTAAGTGCTGTCGATCTAATCTTTTAGGCTGCTATGAAATTTAAAATGTTTTAAACCCTATATATTCACATACATCGAAGTCAATAAAAGTTAGGATTCGTTAGTTGATGCATCAGACATGCACGTAGACCTTTTCACATTCTAGAGCCACCAGGTTTTCTAGCCTGAACTGACAGCAATTTTTGTATTATTTATAAAAACCTATACGCCTATCAAGCATGTTTGATTGAGCTTTTATAAAATGTTAAGAACATGTTACAAACATAAAAAGTAACACCACATGAACAGTGTATTTTCCTCCTCCTCTGCTGAATGAATAATACAGTATTTACAATCACAGGAACAAACGTGATCGTAAACATTTATAGATGAATGGGATTCGGCTACTGATCGATGTTTGAAAAGTTTTTATGCGTCTTTTTTTAAATATCCTTCAGTTACATAATTAAAGAAAAGGACTTTTGCTATGACGGTCCAATTTCAATGCTTAGGATTCTTAATTGTACTCAAACATGGACACGTATCATCAATATTATAATTAATATATATATCCAATATATAGAAAAGCATGTCATTTGGAGTCTTACCTTCATAACAAACAATATAATCTGTGCATTTTCTATAATCTACGTTAACACAGTAAAAAGCTTTTTAGTGATAAATAATTTAAGTTCTTAACACCGAAATTGAGTAAACAAAAAACTTATATTAGTATACGGTTATGAAGATTATTGAGTTTTTGTTGAAATCATGAAGCGATAAATGTTAGACCACCAATGAAAAAAGTGAAAGCATGAGAACGCCACTTCGTTCTAGTGTAGGACTCCTTAGCGGGGCCCATCCACGATTCCGCACACTGTACTTGAACTTAGGACCTTCGGCTTGACGCACATTCACCTGACCTCTAGACTACTAGGATGGCACTTGAGTTGTTTAGGATTAAAGTCTCAATGAGTACTCGCTACCAATACCTCGTTTCGACAGTACTTTTTCTAGCATAATGTGTGAAAGTAATTAAGCAGACATATCGAATCCTTATTCAGCTAGATTAATTGGTGAACTAATGGCTAAACAATTCGTACACTTGTAGATTGAATTCGTCACTTTTATTTAAGTCAATTCGAGTCAATTTTATTTGAATAATGACTGAAAACTTGTTTCGTCCTATTAAAAGACTTATTAACAATAAACATTCACTATCCAACGTGTGATCTTACAAATTACGGTTAACCATTAGAACCACTTAGCTGGCTTGCAATCACAGACACTTCCAAGTTAAATCTAATAGCCACAGTGATTGACGATCATCCAGTCCCGTTGATGACGACTGTGTCACGTCCGACATGTTGTAACTTGAAAACTTCATATTTATCATCAAAAGTAGTGATCACATAAAATTGTCTAAATATATAATTAAAAATTCACAAGTATGACCGCATTGACAATTTTTTGAAGGCGATACTATCGTATCGAAATAAATAAACAGGAGAAAAGACTGTTTATTTGCTTACAAATCAGTAACAGGTACAGAAACAGTTCAAATAAAATTCATATACATCTGATTGTTCACTACACTTCACTTAATAATAATAATAACCGCCAATTAGAAATACAGATGATAATGCACCTACAAAGTACTAATAAACTCAAATCAGTTAACATGTGGCAATCGATTAAAGTTCCTTAACTCAATGTTTGAAAATTAAGAACCGAAAAGTCAGGCTGAAAATATAGTTGTTGCTGGCAGAGAAACGAGTCATAAGTCTTCCATAAAAAATCAGTTTTCAAATTTGTAATTATAAATGTTACCAATTTGCTTTTAAATATTTTTTGAATTAATCAATGATTTGTGAACATTATGATACGTCTTTTTTATAGATAACTCCAAAGTTTACTGGATGTTCAGTAAAAATACCAGTGTTTGCTCAACCAGATTTAGATTTTATTGCTCCAGAAGCTCAGATGTATAATTCCATGTCACCCCTTGCCGACATGTTTTCCTTAGGAATGGTAGTTTGTGCTATTCACAATCAGGGACATTCTTTGATTGACTCAGAGCAAAATCCAAATGTTTATGTTAAACAATTGCCTGAAGTAAGTTAGATTTAAAGTCAAGTGTATACGTCTATTTTTTAGCATTACGGTCCATCTTTGACAGTTACTAATAAAAAAATAATCATTGTTTTAAATATTTGTTCTCTTTCCTAACATAACTTTATTGCCAAAAAATAATACTTCTAGTTGTTATTTTCGTATAGTTATGAAATGACGTGAAGATATGTTAGGCTCAAATATGTTTGAGTGGTGTACTGTTCTCTGAGCTGATCTTTCCTTATTCCACAGCCTTCAATGTTTTTTGACAACGTCATCAGAACTTTCCTTATAGGAAAATAGCTATTCATTTCTGATTTCATAAGCAACAAGTCAGTCCACGTAGGAGTTTTATGTTAAGACAAAATTACGAACTCCAAATATATATAAACATAAATGACTAAATGATTTTTATGAACTAAAACCTTGAATGAAACTCCTTCTTTTGAAAGTGTAGTGTAAAACAGCTAGTTGTTTTCAGTATGAAGTTGTCAAGATTGTTGAATTTCACCGAAATCATGAACCGATCTAAGTTAGAACGTCCAGTGATCCCAGGATTTCAGTAGTGATTTAACTTAGATCATTTCTCGATCTCATTGAAACCGGTTGTTCTGTTCAAAAATATAGTCTAGGCTGAAAACAATCAACATTTTCATTGCATATATAACCTTTTGACACTTACCATAGCTTTGTAAAATATACTAATAAGCATCTACGACAATACATGAACAATATTACTATTTGTTTGTGTGATCATAGAAGAATGCTTATCAGCAGACAAAGTGTAATAAAATGTTAAAAAGGAAACGAAATCTTTCAAAAGATATCCAGAGAAGGTTTTCTTGACGTGATATACAGTTTAAGTGTATTTACACCAGTTATTGTCATAAGTTAGACGGAACAATAATACATCAACAATAGTGATCTTGAATTCATGTTTTCCAAAATAACGATGCGAAAAAAACTGTATAAATTATACAATTAATTTAGTTGAATAGATACAATTCATTATTTGACTGAGAAAAAATCCATTTCACAAACTGATTGATAGATATAAAGATAAGCCTACAATATTTTTAATAAATAAAGATGGGTGGTAGTTATCAGTGGAATCCAAAACACGCGTTTCGTCCTATTTGGGACTCGTCAGCTAGATGTATATGCATTACAGATTTGATGTTCACTGCTAGTCACTATCTATTTTTGCTTATAATGCCTGGTACAATATCCGCACAGGATGCATATATGCCAATATAAGACTGATCAATTGCAGTCCCAAACATCAATGGGAAGATTCAAACAAACAATACAAAATGAATTTTTCATAAATGTTTACTTCATTTATAGTCAAATGAACATCCACTAAGAATTTAATCTGTTACAACTATTATCCTTGATATAAAGTTCGCTTTGGATTGCTATAACAAGAGGAAAACCGGTTTTTAAAAGAAAATTAACAAAAAAATATTTTTGTTTATTAAGCAAACGTTTTGCCGATTTTGTTCAGTTTGTTCACAATATCAAAGATCTAAACAAACAATGAGCAACCTCAAACACTGACCGAAGTTCCGAAGTTCTAGTGGATAGCAGCGACTGGTAAAACTTAATCATACCGAAAGTTAGTCACTTATCATATGTAGCAGTGGATAGTAGTTGCTTATGATTGTTAATTGATTAAACATATAAATATGAACCAATGATACCAACATAGTAGTCTGAAGGTAACATGCTAATAGAGGTCCCATGTTCGGCCCTTGATGCGGTCATAAGTGTGTACTTCTGGAGTTCTGTACTAGAAATAAACAACTGTCAATTTCGATATATTTAACAACTGCCTTCTGGCCGAGATCGTTGATTTAATTTAGGCTTCTTTTTGTTCTATCTAAACTCCCATTATCTAGTCAGAATAGATGCTTTTTGAACTTTCTCAAATCATCGAATGACTAGTAATATTGCATATCTAAGAATAACATTCACGAAACTGATTATTCATCTTTTAATTTTTTTTAATATTTGCATTAGGAAGTGGAATTTTTGTATTTTGTATGTACAGTGATAGTGCATGAACACTTGAGGAAATCTAAATGCATATATTGCGTTCTTCCAAGTTTAAAATATACCGTTTGGTCATCATAAAAATTGAAACAAAATAACCAAAATGTACTCTTCATCAATTCTTCCATACCTGATTACCATTCATAGAATTCTTCCACAGTCCCTATAAGCTGACAATGTTTTTTCCCACGTTCTTGAACCAAATAGGAAAAACTTAATTTATTTAAAACAACCTTTAAAATACATTGAAGCTTTTAATATGAATCTGTTCATCTTATTTATTGATTATTTCATGATAACAAATGATCCAGTGAAACAATGTAAAACTTTATGTACAATACAATAAAACCTTTTAATTCATTTACAATGTGAACATATAATAATAAGTAGATAATGAGACTAAATATTTAATATTGGCGTCATAAACATATTCAACTAATATCTTCCGAAAATAAAGGATTCACTATTGATAGAAAAGAAAAATAATAATTACTACTAAAAAAAGTATCTATGATATTATGTTAATTATATATTTTGTCAATGGTTAGTAGAATAAATAAATAAAGTATGTAACAATTAACCAAGTATAAATTAATTCTGTGTATCCATACTTCATTAATGATGTTTGTTGTTACAAAATATAATTTATTAGTGACATTAAATATATCCAAATAGACAATTCAATAAATGTCCTGGATTTATTAGATAATTGTCACCAAAGAAACAAAATTGAACAAATATAGGAATTTATGCCTCAGATTATAAGTTAATTCATATTACGTAATGGGTTTAGTTTTATTACTATTACATGAATGATGTCCGTATTGTCCTTATTAAGGATTTATTAGGATTTTTTAAAATTTAGGTCTCTTGAAGGAATAAGCTTACTATCTCAAGTGCTCGATGAGATTTTAACAACTTGAAACTACTAAGTCCCAATCTACCCCAATTACTTTGTGATAGGAAGCATAAAATATTCAATGGCGTTTGTGTATTAGTCAATTACTTCGTTGACTCTATTTATTATGGCTTCCTATTAGAAATTTAAGAACTCGTCTCTTGTCACTGATAATTTCCTAGATATTGTTTTAAACAGAACTTATATGGATATTTTCGTTTAACTTGGAGAAAGTCCGCATCACAGCCGGATGTCTACTGTTAGACAATTTGATTATCGTAATAACAGCGAAAAAATAACTGTTGGTTAACTAATGAGTTAAGATGCTTGTCATACGGAATATCTCTACCGAAAGAAGATAATCATGATTAATGTATGTATACTTATCTGTTTTTAGTATAGAGTTGTGAAGATTGTTGAGTTTCAGTGAAATCACGAATCAAACAATGTCAGATCACCAGTGAAAACCTGAAAGCACTTTAACTCAGTTTCGTCCCAGCATGGGACTCCTCAGTAGTGTTTCGAAACATGTTCAGTATCTAGATTAAAAACATCTTGATTCCAACGGCCGAGTTTTCTCAGTTTTATTGTAGAAATCAATCACTTATTATTCTGTTATATAACCACTAAACTCATTCTATTGTATGTTAGAATTTTATTCATTTTACTAATAATATGCTTACTTTGTATGGCTATAACAACAAAATGTTATAATGTATATTTTCAATGGTTTGTTATCTAAATCTCCTAAAACACCTTAGTTCTCTCACATGGGATCTTGGGTATAAAAAAGCTAATTATGTTACTAACAAAAAATACCTGTTTAGCGATTATGAGATTTCAATAATTCATTAACTGAAGTCATATGATTATGAAATTTAACATCTTAACCGAAAAAATATTTTATTATTAACGAACGGTACTTCAAAATTTTTACGCTCATTAACCTGAATTGTCATAGCAATTAACTCTTTAAATCTATGGTATCCATGGGACAAAAACAATATGCAAAAGACGAAAACGCAGTGTTGTTTCAACGTTACACACTAGCCTTCAATTAGTTGATAAATATCGTTAATATATATATATATATATATATATATATATATATATATCTGGCTCAGACATATAGCAACCAGCCATAACATTGGATTGAATAAGTCAAAAGTAATAAAAAGGTATCCACATGATGGATAAATAAATAATTAAAATCCTAAATAACATGTTTGTAATTAATATTCATTGTATATTCCTATTTGTAGCCAGTTACTAGGCAACACTTAAAAATAGCAGACCCCAACATCAATCAAAACTTACCCACTATAAATACATTTATATTAATATTTTCATCAATGAACCAAGTTGAATATCAGTGAAAAGATTTGTATAAATGAATGAAGTTAGATAATTAGCTTGTTTGTTCTGTGTCCAACGTAATGATAAAAAACATTATGATGATAAAAGTCGACTTTCTAATTATTTATTTTTCATCTTCTTCCTTTTTCCTAGATCCCAAATAATTTTGAAAAAATATGTGAACGACTACCCAGAACTTTACTAGAACCTGTACGTAAAATGATCAGTAAGGATGTTCGTGAAAGACCGACATCACAGCTTTTTGCTTTAGTAAGTTGACAGTTTTTATATTACTCATTTTGTTTTGCTAACCATAGGACACGTTTCTATTGGTCACTTCATGGAATAACAGCAGAAAACTCTTCTAAGATCACCTTGTTAGAAAGTGTAAATAAATAAGATGAAGTTTATATCAAGTTAAGAAAACGATGTAAAATGAATGTTTTAATTTAATAAATCAAATGAATGTAGTTATATATACCTGTAATAAATTCCTGTTGATCAGTGTACATGATCGATCGACTTTTATATGCAAATATAATTACTGGGTCAGTCAGTCAATCAGATTCAACGTAGACTGTGCACAAATCTACATCTATCAGGTAAATGAAGGTGGGTTCTTTACAAAAATAAACAAACATGTTTTAAGCTTGGTGCATATCTAATTCACAAAACCTATTTATCCTACAAATCATACTTCTAATTTGTGGCAATTCCCTACATTCGATTACTGATTTAAAATAATAAGCTAAGACCAGTCAATTAATGACCTTTAGCTTTTTATCCAATACAAAGTATGTTATAGAATTGGATGAGACAATTATAGGGTGATCAAATTTATACATCACTGACTAATGCTTTGAAACCTCGATTTTATTCTTTATGGAGCTTTCTACGACAATAGTTTATTCAAATCATTCATCTTGAAATGTGAAATGAGGCTTGAATTTAATCCGTTCAATAAATTTCCTCTTCCTGTACTATCTAATCATCCGAATTTGATTGGATCACTTTTTTTGAAACCATGGAATTACTGTCTAGTTAGCCACAACCAAGGTTCGTGCGAGAAGTTTAGATATATTACAAACAACATGTATACTAAAAAGCTGTATATTATTTTTTAAACATATGATATGGCTATCATGCAGGTATCCGACTCTGTCTAAATTCACAATATTTTAATCATGGTTCAGAATATCGAGTATTTGTAATATAAATGTTGATGTACTAAGTTGTTAAGTTTATGGAATTTACCAATTAATGGTGATTCACATCTCATTCACGATATACTGTATTCAATATATCTCCTCATTTGATTCTTAAGTGAGCTTAGATAACATTGTGATCATCAGAATAAAGTCCTGATTATTAAGCCTGTCCAAAGTTTTAGGTTAACTCAAAAGGACTTTTAATTGTACTAGATTCGCATTTTGCCTTCAGTGTTATCCAAGGATTCCCTATCATTAATTATTGAAAAATGCAAGTTAGTCAGACCGGTTATTTATCATAAAGTATACGCATTAGTGATAAACGTAGCTGCAAACAGATCATTAATGGATGTGCTAAACACATGTAGATCACTCATTTTCATACCTATCTAACTGAGAGTCTTCACTCGAATCAAGAAATACAGTCATTTTTCAATTCTACTTCAAATCTACGCTTCACATTAATCCTATCATATTATCATACCTCTATTTATATTTCCAAAAAGCTTAGTTACGAAACTATTGAAAGTGATGTTTGTAGGTGGTTAATTCCATCGGAAGGCGAGTTTATTTGAAAAGCTAGTTACTGTAAATGTTGATGCTGCCTTGATGTTTGGATGGCGGAAGGACTGTTAATAAAAATAGGCTACTATTCTTTCGTTTTCCACAAGATCAAACAAGAAGCATTCACCCATTTTCGGTTCCCCAAATCGCAGCCATTGTTATAGTTTACTTCATGTATTCAACTCACTGAAAGAAAACTAAACAGAATATTACTGGGTGCTTAATCAACCAAGACTTCCAGGTCTGCCCAACTTACACCACGAATATTTGTAACTGTTGTCGTTAAGTTGAGACTCAAAAAACAGATGTAGTGCAGTATAAATAATAAACTGGAGAGTAATTTCTTCTCGCTGTGCGATCAAAAGAACTTCGCTAAGCCTTGACGGTACCTACATGTGTAACAGAGAAGGAATACTGCTTTGCTGGTTAATAATATTAGATGCACCTATGCAAGCTTTGCGAGTAACCTTTGGATTTGTAGCTAGCAAAATTTCTGACCCGAACGAAAGATTTTTGGAAGATTTCTGGAGGAGCATCAAAAGATTTACTGAATTCATATAATACCTAACTTTATGCAGTGAGTACGCTCACCCCATAATGTGAACACCTTTTCTTTAGTATAAATGGGTGTTTTTGCATTTAATGTATACGAATATCGTTAAACGGTAAACAATGTTCTTGGTTCACTAATACAATTTGTACTTTCTGTATTTACTTGAATGTCATTCAGGTTGAAAATTCCACCTTTTTCTGTTCCCTTGACGAAAAACCTCTTGGGCTTAAAATAAAGGTAGGCTCATATGTTTAGGCTGCAAGAAAAACTACTTGTGCCAAAAATACTGACTTCATTTAATCCACGTAAATTTTCAGGATGTACTATCCAAATCCCATGTCCATTGTCCTGTGCCACAAATTTCATTTATTTTGAGAAGTAAATGATAGTTGCTCACAGGCTTACACAAATTGGTCAAGCTGGTTCAGAAAAAATGATTATCCGTAGCAAATGGAGTTTTTAAGACTTATAGAGAATGGTTTTCCTTGTAGTGGTTACGAATGATCAATTAAATACAAATTACTATTTTATTTTATACACTCATTCTAATTTTTTGAGTGATATGTAGTGAACCGTATGATTAATAAACTGAGGTTAGGATAAATTAAAGGGATGAGATTATTGCCATTTTTACACTCTCCTGACTATTAAATGAGACAGTGAAAAATCAGGATGACAGAAAATCTCATTACTAAGGCTTGTTCATAAAGAATAAAACATGGTTTAGAGTGTATTTTGGTGCTTTTTTCTCTAAGGCTATTCGTATCACGGTTATCTTCAAATAAATCATGTATTCTTAAGTGTATTATTTGGTGCTAAATATATGAATTTCAATATGAGTTATTTACTTTATATGTTTGTCAATCGAAAATTCAAGTCCACAGATAAACTTTTACAGCAAACAGTTGCCCTTTGAAAACTGTCCTTGTAAAATTTCAGTTCAAACTTGATTATCATAGCTCACAGAATGGATGTCGACAAAGGCCAGCATCACACCCCTAAGTTAATTATCACTTATGAAACAAAAAGCTGATTTGAAAAAAAGTTATTTGTATAGCAGATATCATTTAGTAAACTTTAATAGTGTTTGCTATCATCTAAGGCGAAAAGTATCATCTAAAAGAATCTCAAAATACTGAATAATTCGTTAATGATTAGCTTCAGATTACTATGCAATGATAGAATATAGTTTGTTTTAAAATTGACAATTGTTTAATAAATTTTACGTTAAATACAGAAAACTATGTGTTCTTTTTAAAGTTAAAAAGGTCATACTTAACATCCGTTATTACATGTCTTCATAAAAATATTGGCTTTTAGGCTCTGTTACAAAACTAAATTAATTTTTGTTCCTAGAGATCACTGGCATCCACAATAACAAGAATCAATATACTCATTGTCACTTGTTTACTCGATCATCAAATTTCTTCAAACATTATATTGAACAAACGAACAATCTTGCTTATTATTAATATTCTATCATCAATTGTTTACAGATAAACATTCATATCATTTAACATGTTTATTAAGATGAATAGATAAAAAAAGATTGATAATTGTTCTATAGATGCTGATAATCAACTTTTTAATTCATGGTTTATGTGATTAGAGTGAAACAAAATGTTTACTGTTTAGTTCAAGTTATTGATGTTTCTGCTTTTTATATTTTTCATCATTATTCATGACAATCATTCCAAGTAAACAAGAATAAATGGTTCCTTATCTATGATTGTAAACATATTTCATGATAACAGTATGTAAATAATCAATATTTTGGTCATAATATTTATTATCCTGTTCACAAGAAAACTAAAGAATGAATTATTAATCTGGTGAAAGAAATTTGATGACCTGTAGTTTTAGCTACTACTTCGACTATGGATATCATTGTTTATGTATTTTCTATAAAAATGACAGGACTTTGAACTGAGTGACAGCTATAAATACAAAACTGCTGGAAGACTTGTTTCTCATTAACGTAATGTAATCTAGTAACTTAAGCATTTATAATTAAAAAAAACATCATTAACTAATATAAACAGATGGAATGCAGCTAGCTTTGGTATACACGATGCACGTTTCGTTCTTTTTGAGATTCTTTGGCTGGATACACCACAATCCTAGAGTTGTTCACTCCGGGGTTCGAACTCATTACCGTCCACCTTAAACGTCAATGTGTTATCCACTTTTCTAATGAGCCCAGAAAACCACTTACTTATGCAATATATATGAGTTTTAATTTAATTTTTAATAATTTGGATGATCTCGTTGTTGATATTTTGATTGAAATGTTATCAGACAAGTTTGGTATATGTTTAGCCAGTGCTATTACCTTGATGTAGCCATTATGACACAAGTTTATATGGAATGTGCCACAATGATTATATCTAGGCAATTCGCAGTAGATTCACTCATACCAACCAAGACTGATCAAATTTGAGTCAAAATATCAACTGTTAGCTGAGTACGAAGTTGACAAATTTAATTATTAAGTTAAGTTGATACCTGTTAATCATGGAATGTAAGCTGACATTTCATAAAATGTATAAAAAAGTGAAATGACATTCCTTAAAACATGGGTTAAATTATTATAGAATATGACTACAAACTTTCGTTTACTCTCAAGTTAGTATAACTCTTCTAACTGGCATTATATAGTACAAAATAAAATAAAATAGTATTGTTTTGATAATTGGATTTATTGTATGGCTTAAAAATAAAATTAATTAAACTACCTAACTAATAATAACAGTTTACTTTTAATGACTGTGTTAGCATACACATTAAACATAGGTCCGATTGTAGTGCATCAAATGTTCCAAGTAACTGCAAAGGTCTCATTAGAGAACTCTTATCATCATATATTACAGTCACAACTACGAATATTATTCAGAGCTTGGATGTAGAAGTAAGAATAAAACAATACTTTAATATCCGTTGGCGTTAATTAAGTAATTTCGGTTAAAAAATGAAAAAAATGAATACATATTCTACCAGTTCACAGGCATGGCCACGTTGATAAAAAAGAAATGTAACATGTAATGAAATATATATGTCATAAATTCTCTTGATAGAGCATTTCCTACTAAGATGTCAGTAATGCGAAGCAGAAGTTGGGACTACAATAGGATTATTGAGGATAAACAATGCAATGAGCTACGACTTCATTGTCTTTACACTTCACTTTCAACTACCTGCAATTAGTTGATCATGGAATAATCAAGCAAAAATTAATATAAAAGGACCTGAATCATATACGTGCTAGATTGTTTTGTAACATGCTGATTAATTTTCGTTTTTGTTAAACTAATCAGCTGTATTTTATACATTCCTAATACAACAGAGTAAGTAATGCAATAAGAATAAGATTCGAAATTAACCAGGAATAGCGTACTGGTAAAATATCCACGTGATGAAAAGTTTAATAAGTAAACCCAATAGTACCAGTGATCAATGCGAACTACATTTTATTTCTGAAATATACATGGTCTATGAGTATTGGTAATTATTAATATATCCATCCCCATTAATTCATTTTTCATGCCCATAAATAGCTTTCAAGATATTAGTTTATGAATCAAAGTTCACCAATTAAGTGAAACTGTTCGGTGAATGCAGTCTAGACGACAGTGTATGATAGTCATCAGTATGTGAAAAATATCTGCTTATCTTCTGACTCAACCTCTTTTATTTGGAATATTAGGCGTCACCGTTACTATGAAATTCTAAGATTCTTGTAGAGGCTATGAAATATATTTCTCGGCACTCCTTTACCAATTATTCTTTAACTGACACCATTTTGTGAAGATTATGTACATTTATATTACAAAACATTATAAAATACATATATACATTAAAAAAACTTCATACATTATGCATTATTCATGTTATCTTCTTAGTTAAAGGTATTTAACGAACCAGTAGTTCTTTCATACGAAGGTTTACTAACATTGAATGATAAATCATTAAATCAGAAGAAAGAATTCTTTGGCCGACTCCCTAAAGTTATACCCTTATTTGAACCTGTAAGTTGATTACATGATTATTGATTATGATTTGCATTCGAGCGAGGTTTATTTTTAAAATTCAAACTTCCTTTACTGAAATGGGGTGATTGATTAAAGGAAAATTAAACACCTCCTTACTCGCCCATCGTGCTATTCGTGAAAATAATAAGCAGTTTACGTTTATTTGCATCATAAACGAAAAATGCATTTAAAACAGAGAGCACCAAATATCTATTCCTTTTTGTTCGCACTTCATTATTGATCAAAATTCCTTCAAACCGTAACCACTCTGAAATATTCTGCCATCAGCATCTTGTCAGTGGAAAACTAGCCCACTTATAACTTCATAAAATTCAATAAGATATTAAGGTGAACTCTAGCTTATCACTTGAAATTATCCCATCTACATATATTATTCTCAAGTTTTCAAATAATTTAGTTAAAATAACCTAATGTAACAGGGGTATGTACTTAAATCATACTTCAACTAAATAGATTGTGATGCTTATTTGTAATAAAAATAATAAACTAACTAAATTACATGATTTAATGTTGAACAACGATAGATTAGATCTAAACATATTACCATTGCTCATTATTTTAAACGTTTTACCGTAAGACTCCAATCTTTAGAAATCTATTTTAGCTATGAAAAATGATAATCGACGTATAAATTGCATGTCAATGCCATTCATTTTATATAAATCTATCCACAACATATCTGATATTTCTTTCATCAACTAGTAATTATTTATTGGATCTAATGTAATATCTGATTAATTCATTCCATTTTATTTCAGAATGTCAGATATAAATATATTCTACCACTTATTTTACAATGGTTATATGAATCAAACGAATTAATTCCCTATATTCTACCATCATTTTTAACCATGATTAAAGTGGCGGAATCTGATGATTATGACAAATATTTAAAATCCCACTTGCACAAAATTTTAACAGAAACCAAATCACTTCAGGTAAATTATTGAAAGTAAAATAAAATTATGAGAAGTTATTATATTTATTTTATTGTCAGTATAGGGTTATGGATACTGTTGAGTTTAGATTGATATCATGAATGGATCAATGTTAGACCATCATTGAAAAGCTGGAAGCACTGGTTGGCTTTTTCGTCTTAGTATGATACCGAATACAAGTATATAAGAATGTATGGATTAGTGGAAGTGAATTCAGTTTTTCCAAAGATTGTTATTATTTTCAATATTTTGAATCATCGAAGCACTTGGTTTTCTTTCAGCTATCATTTGTAATCAATACACTTTTACCCATAAATCTATTTTCATAGCTCAATTATTTACTGTGAGTCTTTGTATAGACGCCAATACCACTTAAAATAAATAATTTACTATCAGCAAAATTAAATAAAATTACATACAATTACTAATATAAACGAAGTAGGAACGATACTATTTGCGGACTGCATAGGCTTTTCTTTGCTTAAATTTGTAAAGTGAACCAATTGCAAGAAGCACTAATATTTCCTGTGATCTCATCATCAACGTGAAATTAAGTACCACTAATAAGCACAAATATTTTGAAATAGTTCAGATAGAGCTATTGGTACATATCAACTGACTGATAACTAACATACACTGGATTATCTTGTTTAGAAATAAACTGACAGATGTTACTTATTTTCTGTGAAATTAGTATTTAATCATTTTGACTTGACGAGTATCCACTTAGTTACCTTTTTAAAAGTTCCAAATAATTGAAGCCAATAAAATTTTTATATTTTTCTGGTCATCATCAAAATCCATATACGGTATCTGGCTAATTTATTGTTTATTAGTCTTCTTGATCATATAGTTTTAAACGTTCTACACAATTATTCATATGAAAAACTACAATAATGACTTAACTGTTTGTCCGTGAAAATATTTTATTGTGTGCCTGTAAATTTTTATTGAATTTAGACAGTTGTATCCTACTATAAGATACCAAATACTGAATCACAAAAATAGTGTTTATATTGCACAACGTAGATATGTGACTTTTCCCAGGAAAGTGAGAATTTTTTCTGATATTGTAACTAAGGGCTTAGTTGATTTGAATGTAGTTGATGTTTGACGTTATCTTCTTTTGCCATTCGTCTTTGGCATGCAAATATATCTTAAGGTGTAATTATATTAGTTGTATCTATCGCTCGTAGATGATTAAGTTGTCTGATATTGTGCATCCAAGTTGACCCAGTAAACTATTGATTGTTAAATCTCAAGTAATACTCACTTTAATGAGTATAAATCTAATTGTAAATCACACATATTGGTTTAAGTTTAGATTAAAAATGCAAAGAAATTATCTTTCAGTGTCTTTGGATTTGAAAGTGTTGTAATCAATACCGGAAAATGCGATTATCAGTACTCCATATTAAACACAAAATATAGTTATAATTTTCTCTTGTGTCAGAGTCGAAGAAATAATAAATAACGATGTTAATAAACTGACAATAAATAAAAAAGACAGTGACATGATATTTCAAATTTGTTTGAAAAATATGAGTAAATACTCCTACTTTATGATGTTCATAAATGCGTTAAACTAATAATAAATACTAGAAACTATAACTTATGATTTCTACTCAGATTTCTCCCTCTTCAACAAGAGATTAAAACCATCATGGTTTGAAGATTCGTGGACAGCAACTTTATTAGTACTGGTTAATCAGTTTTAAAAAAGATTCATGGTTATTATGGTGTTACATTCACCATCCTAACCACAGACCAATGAAAATGTCAATATAATTCGGCTGGTTTTTCTCACATAACAATTGATGTGGAAATTAATCTCAGAACGTTATAATTTGTCTCAATTAGTGCTTTTTACAAATTTCGCAAGCTTGGTGAAACGACGAAGTTGATTAGAAAAATGTGATATGTTCACTTAATACATTTTGATCAAATAAATCTGCGATCAAATCGTTCGAAATGTGTAGCTTAAAGACATTTTTCATATCGCCTCAGTCACTTTGTGACAACCTTATTACTTAATCAAACAACTAACTATTAAATATCGTCTAAAGATTCTTAACACTTGAAATATACTTCGGAAGCTCTATACACATGTTATAGCAACCGTCTCTTTTCAAGTTTACTGATATGTAAATACTTAGTTATTAGTTTTACATTGTGAATGAACAATCAGCTATCATATAATATTGCGAACTAAATAATCCCCATCAGTGTTGTCAGCCTCTTTTCTTCTCTCTACTGTTTTAATGTGAATTTCTGTGTCTGTGTGTGTATATCTAATGATTATATCAAACCAATTAGGTATATATTCATTCAACCGTAGTAAGTATTTGGTAGGAGTGTTTCAAGGGCAATCAACAAGTAAGTTAATATTTTTATTGATAGCAAAATAGCAAAATAAATAGTTCGGAAAAATTACATTGTTTTCGATTGTTTTTCTTTTTCACTGAGAAATATAAATCTATTCTTACACTGAGCAAATCTTTATAAATCAACTAAGAAACCACTTCATCCTGAACAGTGTTGATAATAAGAATGTATACATGTAGATGAAACTTGAAACCAATAATAAGATCGACAATAACACCAATCAGTTTCATAAGATACTCGAACATATTCATGTGATTCGGAACTTGACAATCTACAATTTATGTCTTACGATTTTCATTAGATTGGTTAACGTCAAAGATAATGATCAGTCGATCAATATTTAATAAATAAACCTAAAATAATGATTCCATTTTGGTATTTTCAATACTTGTTTTCTTTCTTAAAATAAAATGTTTAGTTTGAATAATCTAAGTTGGTGTCTTATCTCAGAGCAGTATAATATTTTTGAGTTATAAGCCTATTTGATTCAGGATGTTGCAAATATATATCTTAGTTGTATGAAATGTTTTATGGATTACTTACTAATTTAACCATTTATATTTTAGAAAGCTTAATAGCTACTAACTAAGCACGTATTAGATTCAAAAAGCTTTCTGTGAGGATTAGATAAGTAAATTTGATCTTCTAAAATTTTCGAATTAGTTGAGCGGTATACGCAGATGTCTTCATTTAGCCGATAACTTTCGGAAGGTAATAATATCAGCTTCAGAATCAATAAAAGTCAGGAGGTATAAGACATCTGAGTTGTTATAATTTCAAGTGACATACACAATCAGAACTCATTGTTTTGAACAAGGTTAAACTTCTGGTCTTCAGCTCCAAATCAAGCACGAAACAATAAGACTATTCAATGACAGTTTTCGACCTTGTTTAATTCATCATATAGTATGGCCATTATCATACACAATCAATCTATTCAATCCCCTTACTCCTAACATTCTGGTCTTTGTTCTACTGACCGCTGACAGAGTTTACAACTATACTCTATTTGTAAGCAATGATGTATAGTGGCTAGCATTGGAATCCAGGACGCGCATTTCATCTTATTTGGGACCCGTCAGCTGGATCTCAGAGTTGATGTTCACTCTGGGACTCGAACTCAGTACGGTTCGCTTCAAACGCCATCGCGTTATCCACTCAGCTACTGAGTCCTGATAGCCACTTGCGTTCTGGATTCCACTAATAGCCACTGTCCATCATTGCCTACAAAAAGCTTGTGAATTAAGGCAATATCGAGGCATACGCACAGTATGCACATATGCCAATAACAGACTGATTAATTACAGTCTTAAATCTCAATGGGAAGATACAAGACAAACAATACCGAGTGAATTTATACTCTGTATGATTCATGTTTATATCTTTTGACGATTATTTTAATCGGTGAAAATTTAGTTGACTTAAGGAGTCGTGTTTTCGAGAACTCTTTATAATCGTAGTAATAATAATGTACTCTAGCATATGATATCTAAACCTATTTGTTAGTTAGCTTAACTTAGTTATTTGCTTCGAATAAAACTCATTTTAAACTTATATTTGGTGGCCATTTGTTATTATTATTAAAAGTTGTGGTTGGATATCATTCATTAGAGTTGAAGTTACATGGATGAATGATTATTCTTTTAATGGATTATCATTGTTTTAACATTATTTAATTAACTTAAGAAATCAATTTTTCAAAAACGTAGGTCATTTGAGTTTTAAAAATTATGGTATAAATGGTAAAATGAAAAACAAAATCATTTTAGTTTGCCTGATTCTAGAAAAATAAATTAAATTTAAAGTTTGATTAGGTTAATTTCTATAGTAATAAGTGTTTAATTTTAAAAAAAAATTGTTATTTTCACATTACTATTATTAGTAGTGGTATAACGGACTTGTATAATCACATTTTCCTTATTAATTAACTGAATTTCGAACAGTCTTTATTGCTGTATGTGATTTCTGTATGGATAGTATCAATATTGTCATTATCTTACAAATTATATAAGATAGATGGATTGTGACTTATATGCGGGGCGGGGGTAGGAATTGTAGAATTGTGTTTTATTCTATTCAGAACTTAATTGATGAATGTACTTGAATCTCAATGTATGCGTATAAATTACCTTTTTTTGTCTTTAAAGTGTATTAGAGAACTACAAATAAGATCTAACAGTTGATATACCAGTTCCAGAAGCGAATATTTAAAAGTTTATTTGCAGAATTAACAAGTTATTACGAGCTGTTTGAGAATTTTTGAGAATTGTTCATCCGAGTTATGTGCTCATCAGAATACCTTGAATTAATTTTTTTTTAATTTTTTAACCAATTATTAAGTATCTGATATATTAATATTAGATCTTTACGAGAATATACAGATGTTTTCCGGCCTCGTCAACACATTTGTCATGTACTAACTAATTTTTCTGGTACCCAGTTGAGTGGTTAAGCATATATATATATTTTTTTTAATTTCAATAATCTGAAAACATTCAAGACTAGAATACAAGGTGATATCAGCATCAAAAGTATCTGATTTGGCATCTATCTTATCGAAAGCATATTTGCATCCAACAAACGCAATGAGAAATGTACTACTGGATAGCTATATGTTTCACGAAATTTCATCAGCTAAAGAGCTACTGAAAATCTAGTGGTACTGAATAGCGCTAACTGTCATAAACTCTAGGTTTTGCAGCTTTTTGACTACAGGGTAACGCCTTATCAGGTCACACATCTTGCTACACTTGTCAGACAGCAATATTTCTATACATTGTAACTGATGAGCCAATGTCTCAATCTCGACCTCATCGGCTACAAATGTTACGATTTCCTCCCAGAGTTTCAGAAAAACCGTGATAATCCTTTTCACTCCTTGAGTACACCATAGGTTACTGATTGTTGCAGAGGCTTCTCAATTATTGAAAGTAATTTCCATTATAAGTTACATTTACGGATAAACTTGAAGCTGTAGCTCGCAACTAACGTTGCATCTTAAGGTCATGGAAATTAAAATGAATCAAAGTGCTGAAAATTAAAATATCCTTCGTGTGTATTTTGGTCTTTTTAGACAAGTATGGTAATTTTGGATCTTTCAGACTTCTTTATTAATCATATTAGTCAAGATGACATTGGAAATCTTCTCCTTCCTGAAATATTTGTTTGCCTCGAACCGGGTACTCCAAAATCTTTGGTAAGCTATCATTTTCACACATGCGATTATTCATGTAAAAGTTCTTAAAAATTTCACTGCATTCACTTCCAGTTTTGCAAACACCGGTTAATGACATATATATGTGTTCTTATCTTCAATAATTATGTTCACAATTATTCTGGAATCATTTATTTTAAAATTAACTAAAGTGTGTCCTACACAATGCTAATAATTATTCCAATGCAGTTGTTAAATAAAATATAAGACAAATACTAAAATTCAAAAAGAATTACCCTTTCGTATGTAAGACAATGTTTATCATAAAATATAGTTTTCACCGGAATATATACAACAAAATTCCAAGCTTTATCTAATATTATCAAACGCTTTTATCATTTATTTCAACAAATACTCTGATAAGATCATCAACATCAAGCCCTAGGAATATCTGATAGAAATCTTAATCTCTAACCAAAAAATGGTTTTACCAAGTCATGATGGGTTACTACTAAGCAGTCATTGAATAATACAATGAGTAATAGTTTGTGAATAATTATTTACAAGTAATATGTAAGTGCAGAGTGGGTTGGAGAATGCTGGTCGGCGGCCTATGCTCCGTTGGGAGTAACAGGCGTAAGTGAGGAATCCTCAAAAAAGAATCGCTTTAAATCTATGACGTGTAATTTGACAGTTAATAACCTTACCAATTATAAATTTGGTTATCATTTAAAGAGATCAGTTTTTTAAAATTGTATCTGATTTCTAATCAGCTGAACAAGTTACATTTGAAAACTTTTGCTGAATATTCACGAACTATTTATAATTTTTCGACATATTTTCTTTTCTAAATGTCTAACCAAAAAAATTCTTAACAATAACAGGAAACTGTTCAGAATGCAATTTCAGTATTGTCAAACTATCTTAATAATACACAAATTGTCCAATCGATTCTACCACAGCTCAAAGAAATATATAATCGTAAAACATCAAACCCCAAGGTAAGGTAAACTTTGTAAAAAATATCTTTATTTGAATAATAGAAAAAGAGAGTAAAACAATACATGTTCAACAATTAGGTCGTAAAGATTTTTATGTTTAATATTGATTAGTGCTTGCTGGCACTTGTTGGAGTAATTTATTTCATCTACTAACACAAACTGTCGTATTCTAACCATTATGAAATAGTCATGTAAACAAGGAAGATTTCATGTTTAAAAATAGCTCATCTACTATCGAATGAATGATTTAAATAGTTAAGATCATGAGTTATTTGAAGCTAGGCCACCATGGAAAACCTGAAAGCACTGGACAGCCGTTCTGTTCTAGTATGGGACTCCTCAGCAGTGTGTATCCACGAGACCGCCTGACGGGGATCAAACCCAGGACCTATCAGTCTCCAATGCGAGCACTCAATCATTGAATGCCGGCTCAGCGGTCTGATGGTTAAACGCTCGCGCGAGAGACTGATAGGTCCTGGGTTCGAATCTCACGAGGTGAGGAAGTGGATGCGCACTGTTGAGGAGTCCCACAATAGGACGAAACGGCTGTCCAGTGCTTCCAGATTTTCCATGGTAGCCTAGCGTCAATCGACTCATGATCCAAATTATTGAAATTATTGCAATCTCTACGAAATCCCTTCTGATACGGATAAATGACTTGAAATTCATGCCTATGAACATTGAAGCATTATCAACACAAAAAAACCCAGATGAAACTGAACTAAGGAACAATTTCTCAACCGGATCAACTTGAAGATTTTAATGATTTTAAAGTCATTAATATAAATACATGAATTTTACTTAGATGTAAGTCACTAAAATTAATTTAGCAAATTATTCAAAAAATCTATACGAAAAGAAGATTGAATACTAAATGAATACAAATTATTATTCTCAAATTAGTTTCAGTGAATCAAATGCGTAAATTAACATTCCAGTTTCCGATTAAACAACGAAGTATCCTCATATAATATTAATAAATATCTTCTGGTTATTGAATCACTTAAACATACTTTTTTCTTCGGATTTCTATTTAAAGCCTTCAACAAACTTAACAAATAAATCAGTATCTGAGTCAAACAGAACTCTGACTTTTACTGATAATTTTAAGATTAATTACTAGAAGTCTTAAACTTTGCCAATAGCCAATCACAGGAAAGATAAGATCAAACAGCAACCATGGTGAAAAAATCAAATTGATTGGACACAAATTATCTCTAATGCACAACGTTCGGCATTCGATTCTATTTCAAGAATAGTCACACCACTTTAGCAAAATTTTTTTTGGAGAACAATCACTCGGTTTTAAAAAATCTATATTACTTTAAAATCAATAAGAATCCATCTTTTTTTACCATTCCATACATGAAGTTCATGGGCTGGAACCAATTTTAAACTTTAGATAGTAACAAACTATATGTTATGGTAAAATTAACAGAGTTTAGTTATATATAATTATTTTATCACAGCTTTCAAACAAAACCGTTTTAGTTCAATTAAATATTCAAACGAACGTTCTTTATTTCATTCCCTTTGATACTTTGAATGAAACAACCAAGATTACACCATAAAGTAAATTGATTTTGATTTGAAGTCCTTTATTAAGTTTAAGCTACCTAAAATTACAAAGTTGTGTGTTTCGAGAAATCATTTTGATATACTTTGAACTGTGATGGTGATATGGATGTTTAAAACTGCACGGAAAACCACGAGTATAGTGAATAGTTAAAATAAACCTGTAAACGTAGTACGTTGGATTATATTTCCATATATATGAGGAATAATAGTTAAGTAAACTAATTTCAGTGTGTTATAGTTACTAACGAAATCAGGTTTTCTAAACGGCCAAGAGATACAATTGAAATAAAACTGACTTACTGGTTATATAGAAATAAGATATACTAGGACTGAAATCATCTTATTCCAGTCATCGTTACCGGGCAAAGGAAAGGTTTATCACGCATCCCAGAAACATAATATACCGATTCTCTTTTTAATGTGCAGTAAACGTAACAGTTGTTGTCAATTAACTATTCTGAAAACTAAACAAATAGATTCTCTTTTAATCACTGTCTATTCTGTTTATATCTATCTCACTCAGAATCTTGTTAAACTGTTATTATGAAACAATATTTCCAGATATTTTCCATGTATTTATATGCAGTATATTTGATGCAACTACAGATGTTTTCAAGGGTATTTTTCCACTTTTGTGTGGTCAATATGAGTATTCAGTGCACAAACACTATAAGATAATGAGAAAATTAAGACTCCCGAATCAGATCTGCAAAAAGAACTTTACCTTCCAAACTTAAAAGGTGAATAGCACAATAGTTCTTATAACATTATTTTTGCTCTAAAAAGATGTTTCTGGAAACTTACAGAAGATACCAACTAATAAGAGGTGTGAAACTTGTTCTATTCACTCTTTCGTCACAAAATATCACGCGGAAGATTAGTCATCAAACATTTTAAAGTGATATTTCCTCTTACAATTTCTAATATAATATTTAATTTGCATATTTGTAAATCAGAATTTGTTTGTACATTTTCACCGTTCATTTTCATAGATTCGCATTGCATGTTTAGAATGCCTAGGAAAACTTTTAAAAAAATTAACATTACCTACATTATGTGATGATGTACTACCATTTGTTAGCTCAATTCGAACAATTGATCGTGAATTAGTTCTTGCTGTTGTGGGTAGGTTTCATCTGAATTTTATTGTTCCTAAGCTATAAATCTTCAAGATAAACTGTACATATTAGTACAGTTACTAAATTTTAATAAATGGCTTCAAAAGTGAAATCACTTTTGTTACTGATCCTGTTTGTAAATTTAGTTTATTTAAATGTAAATTTGTGATGCATAAAATCGTAAAACTAATAGATGTTTGAGCAGTAACATGTATCTTATTGTTAGATCCTTAATGTTGAATACATTTGCATATGTCCTTAGACATAATGGTTCACTTTGTCCTGTGTTTATTGGCCGCATGCACCTAACAGGAACTAGTGAACATATATTACATGTTTCTTTAAATTAATCAGAAAGATAGATCAACATTTTTTAGAGGAATAATTAAATACCAAAGATCTATCTATATGTCACGCAGTATCATAACCATAGACATTACTACTTCGAGTACCACTAAGAATGAAACATGAGTTTTCTGTTCGCAGGGATTTCCATTAAGCACCTAGATAGTAACTTGGCCTAATAGTTACATGACAAATTTGATTTGTAAAATTCATTTGCTTCTCAGGACCAGACAACGTATTATTAACGACAACACTGTTGATTAAACTTGGTCTTGTCGAGCATTAATTACTTTCCGAATACCTCAGTGTGTCTGACTGCTGTGCAGTGTAACACTGGGTAGACTTTCTGTTGCAAAAATAAGAGATTCCCCAATAATATTGATACAACTTTCAGGTAAGTCATAACAATATAAAGATTTGTCCATATTTCTCCCGTTTATTGCTTTCAGCTATTCAACATGTATAGTTAAACTCAGGAAACAATAATAATATTATACCAACCCATGATGGTTCTTTGTATGAAATTATTGCACATGATTATGCATCAATTAAAAAATCACCGATGAGAAACCGCATTTAAGTAACAAGATGCTGATTGTGATAACTTTACTATCACTTTTTAAGTAGACCTAATAGATTACGAAATAAACAGAAACGAATGAACTGAATTTTGTAAAGAACTAAACCATTTTCAAAAGTTAAATTGAAACATTTATGGTCACTAACATATAAAATCGTTGAACTAATAAAATGTATGGATATACCAGATCTGTTGTCAAACCACTAAGGAAGGAAACAACTAAACTAGTAAGTATGAACGCATTATAATGAATCACCTAAGCATTTATACAAAATTTTCACAGAACTCTTATGTGAAAAATGCATCATTTCAGGGGAATAAAGTGGGTACATCTACAGTATATAGTTCCCGGTTAGTGTTCATCAGATATTCGATTGCAAGAAGTAAATTGTATGTGAAATGTTTATTTGATATTACCGTCAATTTTTTTTGATAAAATGAAAAAGCGCAAACAATATCATCTGGTATATACACACATGTTTATTCATTTGCTTGCATCCTATTCCATATTCGAACAGATATATGAACGAAGAATATTTTCTTCATGTTCCACAATTATATATCTAAATGAATAATCCAGTGTTTAAGGCAATAATATGGTTCATCATTGCAGCATGTGAATTAAGAATTGTTTATAGAATACATGTTAAGACGACTAATATAAAATGTTTATTCGAATACGTTTATATGTTTAAAACTTGAAGAGAATTTATTAAAAACAATGTTCTTTGTTCATATATCTGTGTTTTGGCATGGTGGGAGTTTTTTGGCTATTGAAATGTTGTGGTCAACCATTCTTTATATTTTCCTTTTTTTACTTTCATTACTTCAGCTTTGAATCGCCGACTCATATCAGATAGAAACAATGAAATTTCGTATACTTACATAGCTGGAATGCTATTGCCTTCTATGGTGAACTTTCTGGCATTAAAAACACTAACTATATCTGATGTGAGTTTCCATTTAATTTGGATTCTTTGTGTAATACTATTATGAGGAATATAAAAATTTATGCTAAATTATTTTATCCTTAAATTTCGGAAAAGCTTGTTATGAACAAGGTTTTCAACACAAATAAATGTTCATGTTTTAGCAATGATAAACACTAGTTCATAACTGTTTCGTCTATATTAGCCTCTCTACAAGTATTTATGATTACATCTTTTTCAACTAGTACTAAAATATATATTATTTCAAATACTACTGGTCTCTGGTGCCGGGGTCATAGATGCACACTGATGAACTGAACCATGTTAAAGAGAAATAGTTAATCAGTGATTTCTTGCTTTTAGTGGCGGTTTAAATAAGATCAATTGTAATTCTAACTGTAATACTGGTAAGTTTCGGTTACACATGAGACTAATTGTAAGTCAAGAATACAATTTATGTGGACAATTTATTTATACATTTCAAATAACATTCTACTAAATTAGCCAAAATGTTGCGACACCTTGGAACATCGCCATGTACAAACTAGAGAATTATCGAAATGAACAATAATAAATATTATCCTTGGACAGAAATTTGTCATTAAACATCAAATCTATTTTCCTATTATCGTTCAATCTATCCGATGCATCCCTACTTCAACTTAGAAACTTATTGTGATCCACCGAATATTATATCAATAAACCTAACCTATAACTTAAAAAGATTTTCATATTATCCTCTTTGTTTATAGTGACGATTTTCTGAGTTGAACAACTTACATTAAACTAAACCATAAAACTCATCTAACTGATATTTCCTATCGCAGCATTTAACCAATTTCTCTGTTTGTCTATTAGTACAATATAACTTATTTGAACTTTTACAGTTTTATTTTATTTAGTTAATTAACTAACTAACTAACTTGTTTAATAAGGTGTTAAAGTCTTTGCTATTTAGTATCTTATCTGTAAAAATACTTTCGCAATATATTAAGTAGATAAACCTTTCGTATGTCGCGATTGCTTTATTTATACATAGATTCTTGATAACGATTGAGATTTGTAGCTCATGTGGATAATTTAGGTAGATAGGACAAGCTGTGAGTCACATGTAGAGAAATTCAAACACTTCATTTCTGCCTGGAGTTTTTGCTGATGATGTTATTCAGAAGAAAAATGAGAGCTCTAAGAAAAAATCAACCAGATCAGAGAACAAAACCACCTGAATTGATGATAACCTATAATTAAATAAGCATCTTACAAGGGATTTCCTTCACACAGCAAGAATAACGATGTTTTTAGAATACGAAAACTTCATTATGTTTTACTTGTTTCTCATCAGCTATATAATCAAATGATTTTGATAAACTAATAACTGTTACAACTACTAGAGAAATTTTTAAAAATGGATTTTGTTTTATCAAACAATAAATTTCTTAAAGCGCTCAAGTAAAACTAAATCATTTTCTGCTGGTTGTTTGAATCTTCCCAATAAAAAAATGAATTAAACTTCATCCCACTGCACAAGCTAGTAGTTACATAGACTCAGTAGCTAAGTAGATAACGCAATGGCGTTCCAAGAAAATGAAACTGGGCTCGAGTGCAGGAGCGAACATCAACTCTGGGATGCAGAGACATTCAGCTGGCGAGTTTTAGATAGGACAAAACTGACGTCCTAGATCCCACTGCCAGATACCAACCATATCTACCTATAATGCTCATGTAAAACTATTTAAATTAAACTAATTTTGATCAATCTCTTACACGTAACTCTCATATATTGGTAAAAATCAGTCCCGTTACGGAATATAGGAAAGGGATACATAGAACAATAGGAAAATGAATTTTTCCGAAAGACATTTAATTTCAATCATATTCTAAAGTGTTGAAAATTAATTTTTCTGTTGTTTACGTCTGATACTAAACGAGTAAAAGCCTGACTAATAAATTCATTTAAATAAATATATCGAATTTTAATCCACTAACTATGATGATATCTTACAGTTTGAATGAATCATTTTATGTTGATTAATGGTGATTTTGCATGCAGTTGTCTTGTTTATATCTTGTGTCAAACAGCTAATACTCACTGATATTTCACGATGTGTACTTTTCAACGGATTTTCAGCAAAATATGTAAATGACTATATTTGAAATCTTATCGTACTTGCCTATGAACGGATACTTAAACTGATGTATACAGATGATGAATGAATGATTCTTCTCTACGTTTGAAATAAACACTGAATATAATGTACTGATAATTATCACTTCCAGCCAACATGATTTACAACCAACTTGAGTTTTTTTATGAAATCCTACATCTAACTGATTCAATCTAGTTTGGTTCCAAATAAAATAGAAGTTTTTGGATAAAATTCATATGATAAGTAGAAAATAAGTGATGTAATATACTGAAAATTTGTCATGAAAAATGTTTTCCTCTAATATTTTAATTGTAAACTTTAACGGCTGAGAATACAATCAGTGGGTTCAAGTCTTTATGATAATTCCAAACGAATGAAAATTCATCCAAATGACAAGATGTCGATAAGAAGGAACTTGTGTTTTAGATTTTTTACGCTATTCAAAATAACATATTGTACTGTTATTGAAAATGTCATTATTCTGAATGAACCTATCTGTAATCATAGATTGAAGTTATGCTAAAAAAAGATATTTGGTACTAGTAGATTAGTACTTTGACAGGACCCAATTTAAAATTTAGGGGAATTAGGAATTTAGCTCCAGATATATTTTTATTATCTTACATTAATTACCATTATTTTATCTTATTAGTAATGTAAAATAATAATAACTGATTCAGTACTTTAATTTTACACACAGTTCCGAACTGTAATTAATTTAACTCGAACAATGCTAGATCTCATAGATCGACAGCGTTCAGTTGAATTAAGATCACAAACTGGATCGAAATCAGTTGGCGGGAGCTGTTCTGATATGAGGTTAGTAGTACATTTTTATAAAAACATTTAGGTAACATAAAGTTATCATCAACATTCTATTCTTATGATCATGAGTATAACATATGACTATACGAATTTTAGAAGTGAACATTCACTCTAGGATTATGATTGAGTAATTATTCATCATTTTATCAAAGTATCAATAAATAATGTAGTTCACAATTTAGACTAGTCCAGAGATGACATAAGAAACAGTAAAAAAGACAATTTAAATATATCTATTTACTACATATGAACAGTTTATAGTTCAGGATGAAACTTATTTGACTTTTATATATAAATCAGTCAAGTGATTTGTTTCTACGAGTTTAACAACTATCAGAATAGCATAGTTTGTAAATTATCCTAAGTGACTTCATTCATAAGACAGAATAAATAGTCATTGATCCCAGTAAATAGGAAATACCAAACTAGAATAAGTCAGCTGTATGATGCTTCTTAGTTTTCAAAAGTTGATATCGACCAGTCACAGAACCTATCTTAAAATACCGTCATTCCTTAGAAGCTAATATTCGTTAGGTTGCATTATTATTTCATAGGTCGTACGCATGTATCTATATTTTTTATTCTACTTTTTCGAATTTCTGCTATCCAGGTTTATTTTCCTTCTAATCTTAACTGCTATTTACCCCTTGAAATATTGAATGCTAAGCATTCTACCATTTGTTTTTCCTGCTCTAACAGTTCGTCATTTGGTGCACCTCGAAATCTTCCGTTAATTGCTATGCAACGTCCAACAATAGATTCTGAATTATTATACGTAGATATGGATGATTCAAAGCTTTCAAGATCAAGTTTAGGTGAGAATTACTAGTTTATAAAATACTTGTTTGATTACAACATGTTTTAGAATAAACCATAACAAGGCTTCAGAGCACAAAATGAATTGTTTCGTTTGTCGATTTCTTGAAAGTAGTTCATTAAGCTTTCTTTCCTTATTGTTTTATCGGTTTATTTATTAGGTTAATTATCAGGAAAAAATTATTTCGTAAATGACAGTTGAAAAATGATAAACCACATATGAGACAATCTAAATGTGTTTCCTACTGTTGGCAAGCATAATTAAGTTTATTTAATTACAAATTATTACTAGGAAACTAGATAGCTAGTAACAAATTTAAATAAAATACACTTAGCTAGACAGTTCGACTTACAATGATTTATAATGCATCTCATTCAAACTAATTACTTTAATACGAAAAACTATGATTCAAAAATAGATTTACTGACCGTAAAGGAGGAACATGCTCTACAATTTTATTCCATGTGATTTTTATTAGTATTGAGAAGTATATGACAGTTGTAGAATTTTCACAGTTTAATGCACGAACTGATCCTAGATGGACCTCGTTTAAAACTGGGAAGCACAAGACAGGCGTTTTGTCGTAGTATGGGACTCCTTATTAGTACTCATTAACGACCTCACCACATGGAATCAGACTAAGCACATTCAGCCTCTCTTATGAATTTCTAATCTCTAAGTCACTGAGCCTGCATTCAGTGGTGTATAGTTAGCTTCAGTTGATTCTTGGTATTGTGTGATCGCCTTTCATAACCTAACATAATAAGACTTTAACATTTTTCACAATAAATGACTTACAAGCACACAGCAAAACCTATTTCATATCTTACTAAGGATGGACACTTATTTAGTATACTATAGTTTTGTTGCCGTATATGCCCTACATTATTCTGGTTTCTATTACTTCTTTGCAGAATCTAGAACCAGAATCTAAAACGGAGTGTTGAGCTATTTAATTTCAAGTGATATAAAATTTTCCCTCATGACTATGGCTTTCAATTGTACCTGTTTACATATCAACACTTAAATCAACTACTTCTACATTTTTAGACCCTTTTTTAATCATCTCCAGAAAACTTAACATCCAGGCTAGGGAGGATCTACTTCCGATTACATTTGTATCATCTAGTGTCATATTTATATAAGACTGTATTCTTGCATCAGTTAAGCAACTGTGTTACTGCTTTTGTGTATTAGTTTTATGAAAACTTAAAAACCAACGGTATTTAAAACCCTCTAGTAAATACATGATATAATACGCAAATATAAGATGTTTTATAAATAACACTAAACTTAATTCCTGAATATTGTAAACGTCTTTGATTGAAACGGTTTAATAGATATCAGTGTAACCTACTCGGCATTGTAGACATCAAACCCTCTAAAATTAATCTTGGGATGAATTATTTAATTTTAACCATACAGGAAAAGTTCACAGAACTAAACAGTAGCATGTTACTTCCCAGTATACTGTGAAACTGCGTCTCAAAGTAAGAAATATACTCTAGACTTCAAATAATGCAACTTTTTACATATTTAAGAGACAGGCGATCTCATTATCCATCTGTAAAGTTGGTGTTTGCATGATTATTCATAGTCTCCTGAAGCAAACAAGACCTTATACAATATTTAATTGTTTTATTACATCTCATAGATTATCGTCGAAGTTCTGGCAGTGAAGTCACTGGAACTAGTCGGTGGAGCAGAAATAGCTTGTTAATTCAACGGTTACAGGCATCAAAACATCGGTCAGAAAGCCTGTTGTTCAATACAAAGCACAGAAACTGTAAGTTTCACTGGAGTATTCATATTATGCATATATAGTGATTTAAAAAATTAACAGCAACCATATACCTCATCATTATGAACATGATTGGTTACGAATATTAAATACATTACTACCAGCTTTTATTCGTGAAATCTGATTTATTTCACAAGTGTAAATAGCCCACATAATTTGGTAGATAGATCTAGTTTACCCCAAAACATAGTTGATAGTTTCGCGTGATTTCGCTTCACATTATAATAATTAGCTAGTTTGATTTTATGGTGCACTCAACTGCTATTTCTGTAACCTAAGGACCTCATAGTTAAGTTCTATTAAGATTAGAATTCACCTTTTCCGCACATCATACATAACAAAATCCCGAATGGCTTGATTTCCGTTAAATTGGTAAGAACTTAAGTGTAGCTTTCCGACTCTTTTCATTGTACACGAAAATCTGTTGGAAGGTTATTGAAAACTTCATAAAGCTGAGAGGTTGATTTATTTGAAATTGAGATTTTTCAGTGCACTACCCACTTCACATAAAGTACAGTTCACAAACTTCAGATACTATCTAGTAAACATGATACATGGAATCCATTTGTTTGGATAATTTAAATATAGCCCAATCCCAACCTTCATCATCAATGCGTTACTGTTTAAACACCACTCCTTAGACTTACTTAATTATAGAAATGCACCAAAAACGCTAATAAATTTACTTCGAAAAAGCTGACTACTGACCATATTATTATTTTTTCAAACGATGCTTACCGCATTTATTTAAAACTTCTCAATATTGACTTTTTAGAGTACTTTGGTATCATAAAAGGTTATAACAAATACTTTGCTTCATTATTTTACTTAATGACCTATGATAAAAATATGTTGGACAAAAATAAATCGTAATCTGTTGATATGAATTAAATAAAGGAATTAAAAAGATTTACATAAACGATTTGATTTATTCATGATTAAAAGAGAGGGTGGTGAAGCATGAAAATTGGTGTTCGGCATACAGAATGATAAGTGTATAATTACTTTCTGAAACCATTTAATTAAGAACTATTTTCTAATCAGAATATACTTTAAAAGAAAAACGAAAACAAAAAATTGTTTGAACGCACACGCATAAAAGTATCTGTTAGTTACCTTAATAAATGGATATATTGATTTTTTTTCTTCAATTTGTTGAATTTAATCATTCCGATTATTAGTTGTCAAGATACCGAAAGAAGGATCTTTTAATATGAACTTGTTCAATTCATTTCCTATTGAATTCATTGATTCTACTTTGTAATTATTATGAAACCAATAAAATACAATATATTTGTCAAAAACCTTTATTTTGCGGTTATTTTTATATTTAGCCATTGGTGATCATAGATTTTGGAATGAAAGTGCAAGTAATCCAAATTTTAATTATCATGGACATTCAAGTACAAATTCTCGTATAGGACCAAGTCCATTTTATAATTCAAGTCCAACTTGTGACGATCTATATAAAATGAGAAGATATTCTGGAAATATTTTAACTCGATCAACAGATAATCAAGTGAATGTATATGTTAGTAAACTCAGTTTTCAGAGAAAAATTTACATGTTAAATGGAGTTTTTTTTTCAAATTTCAATTATTACTAATAAGCCTTTTATTCTTAGAAAAAAGTGAATCATGTAGTGGGTAGTAACAAGATGTCTAGGAAGAAACTGATCCCACTTTACGTAGACTGTTAAGATAACAATAATTAACCACTTCAGATAAAAAGGATAATCAAATTGGTAGTTTCTAATTCTTTTCACAAATTTACATCATATATATATGTAAGTGATATGGAAATAAATGCAGTATTATGTTGTAAGATGTACACTACTTTAAGAAACTGAATCACTTTCCCTAATCAGTATATACATAAAATAATCAGTAACCAGTTGTGTTGATAAACATTTACTGAAAAGTCTAGTAATTAACTCTAGATGACTCAGTAACCAAGCTGGATTCCGTAAGGATCGATAGTGCACAGACCAAATTGCAACACTACGGATCATATTCGAACAATCAGTTGAGTGGAACTCGTCACTATACATCAACTTCATTGATTATGAAAAGGTATTTGACAGTGTAGAAAGGAGGACGTTATGGAAACTTCTTCGACACTACGGAGTTCCTGAGAAGATTGCCGATATTATCCGGAACTCATACGACGGACTACAATGCAAAGATGTACATGGAGGACAGCTGACAAATGCATTCCAAGTAAGGACCGGAGCCAGACAAGGCTGTTTACTCTCTCCCTTCCTCTTTCTTCTGGTGGTCGACTGGATTATGAGGACCTCGACATCTGAATGAAAACACGGAATACAATGGACAGCTCAGAAGCAGTTAGACGATTTGGACTTCGCAGATGACCTAGCCCTCCTATCGCATACACACGAACAGATGCAGATAAAGACAGCCAGCGTAGAAGCAGTCTCTGCATCAGTAGGCCTCAGCATACACAAAGGGAAAACCAATCCAATCACTCTTGATGGCGAAACTCTGGAAGATGTAGAATCCTTCACATACCTGGGAAGCATCATCGATGAACAGGGAGGCTCAGATGCAGACGTAAAGGCAAGGATTGGCAAAGCAAGGACAGCATTTCTACAGTTAAAGAACATATGGAACTCAAAACAACTTTAAACCAATATCAAAGTAATAATCTTCAATACCAACGTCAAGGCAGTTCTACTGTATGGAGCTGAAACTTGGAGAACTACAACAACCACCATCAAGAAGGTACAAGTATTTATAAATAGCAGTCTACGCAAGATACTCAACATCCATTGGCCTGATACCATCAGCAATAGCCTTCTGTGGGAGAGAACAAACCAACTTCCAGCTGAAGAAGAAATTAGGAAAAGACGATGGAAATGGATAGGACATACATTACGCAAATCATCAAACTGCATCACAAGACAAGTTCTAACTTGGAATTCTGAAGGGAAGCGGAAAAGAGGAAGGCCTAAGAACACATTACGTCGGATAATAGAGGCAGATATGAAAAGGATGAATAGGAACTGGAAGGAGCTGGAAAGGATTGCCCAGGACAGGGTTGGATGGAGAATACTGGTGAGCGGCCTGTGCTCCTTCACGAGGAGTAACAGGCGTAAGTAAGTAAGTAAGACTCAGTAACGGTATGTGAAAAGAATTGTTGGTGAAATTTTCTATAATATCATACGTATTGTTGTAGCGACTTTTCAACACCAAAATTCTTGAATAGACAATTAGAAATTAAAAAAATAAGCAAACCAACAACTGAACTTGTTTGATAGTGATGTTTGTTTCATGATTAAAACATTTGCTTACTAACCACAAATCGTCTCATAATTCAGTCGACTTTGCTTACTTTTTACACATACGAAGGGATGAAACGTTTTATTAATTTGTATTGATTATGTGTCTAATAATTGGGTGACTGATCCATAATAAGATCAAACCTTATGTGATTTACACAATCCATCATTAAATATAACAAACTGTAAAACTACGTCTAGTAATGAATAATGAAAAGCATGAATAATTGCTTCGCTATTTAGCGACATAGAAACCTCTGTGACACCTATTAGTTTACAGTGCTAATAAATTAAACATTGAAGTAAATCAATCAAATAGTTTCTTTCAAATTTTTAACGACTCTCTAGTAGGTGTTTTTGTTATGTGAAAAATCAGCTTCATAGCTTTGAAAGTATGCCACCAAGTGTCGTAATACAACCGAAAAGTTGTTGCAGCTATTTCTTCACCACGAGAACACTGGTTAAATTTACGGTCAACCGATAAAACCAAACAAGAGTAATGTCTGTTTTAAACTTATTTATTTTTGTTAAAATTTAGCAAAATTTATAATCATAATCTCTTGAAAACTATCAAAAGAGAAGCATTAGGCAAAAAATTAAATTGTAAACACCTAGATATTGATGTGGCCATTCACTTCGTCAAATAAGCGATATATGACTCTATGCCACACATAATTCATTTGAAAGTTTACTGTAAATTTATGATTTTCAACTGGTAAAGAGATAGAATAATGTCCTGTTCCTAAATCAAATCAACAAATAATGTCATTCTAATATTCTTACTTTTTTTATTTCAAAGGATAATTTAGGTTCCTTAAATGTACCAAGATACAATAATGGTTTTCTTGACCCTAGAAGACATAGTTATGGTTTTACACCTAGTACATCAACTAAATCTTTAATTACAGTCAATGTATGCGAAGGTCCTTTCGTTACTCCACTCAGTCATCGTGGTTCAATACGTCGAAATTCTGGTTGGAGCTGTGGTCAATTTTCTACTTCTCAAGTAAATCTAACTATTTCTTTAATTTATCAATATGATCTGTTTTTTATAATAAGTATCATGTGTATTTTGTTTGTTATCTCAAAACATAGGTTGAAAGAAGTCGAAACAATTTTTAAAGATTTTGACACGATATACATGATCTATTAGTACCAGTAAAGTTAATAGTACAAATACTGCAAGAAAACCTCGACAGTATAAAGTCACTTACAATTTCTAATACTCATTTCTTTAAATCTGAAAGTTCACCGGAGACTACTCTCTTTATTATGAAAATTCAAAGACTTCTAGTTTCTTGCAAAGTGGAAAAATAGGTATAAGTACTACTGCACTTTCGACGTATTCCATAACTTCATTGAGCTAAACAAAACTGAATGTTTAAATAAGGGGAGAATAAATGTCTTTGAGGATACAAGGATGGTTACGTGATATTTCCAAAGAATATACTACTTAGCCTACTAATTGTTGACTTAAAACCACAAATAAAATTGATTAAATAACGAAAAATTGAGTAGAAATCTAATTTTCCAATAACAGCTTAAATGAAGCAACCAGTGAGAATTGGATTTTATGGGGAAAAAATGTAGGTTTCTTCATAAAAGCTTTTATACTTAGTGTGCCTAATTCGATTTTATAGTTCAAATATCATTTCAGGAATCCGAAAAATCTCTTTAGTGGATTTTGTTCGGTCAGATTATTTTCATCAGTAGGAATTTTCATTGAATCAAATCAAAGACCAAATTAGATCAGATGGAATACCATTGAACACCAGGGAGCATACAACAGCTATTTCAATTTAATTCTTTACTCCTTGGCAGAACATCCCACCTCTTTATACCAGATTAAACTCAGTCGAATTAAATAAAGCTAATAACTCCATACTACCAATGAAAAAAATTTGTGGAAACTGTCATTGTATTTTAAATCAGCATTCATAAAATTTGAGTGATTAGTTTGACAGAAACTGCACGCCGAGTATACAGAATAAATTAAATATAAACATTCTGCCTAAAGTGATATCAAAAATTTAAATTTAACAGTATAAGGTTGTGCAAATTATTAAGTTTTTGATTATAAAGTCCCACAAACGAAACGGTCGTCCAGTTCTTCCAGTTTTTCAATGGTGGTCTAACATCAATCGGTTCATGATCACAATCAAAATTGAAATTCAAGTAATTCAACCGTTTTACCTTGCAAACTCATCACAGCCTTTTCAGGAAAGTAACTAAAATCAGCATTATCAGAGAGTTTCTGAAGTTTAATAACAAAATCACACTAAAACCTTGTCCAATTATGTTCATCTTATTTGAGCAAGGTCATAAGGCAATCTGATGTTTTACTCGTTCATAGTGTGAGAAGTATGAGAATGTATGTATGTATTTGGATGATATTATCACCAGAAAATGGTAAGAAAACGATGCCTCTGGCTATGATGAAGAACAAACTAGACGTTAATAATTATTATGAACCTAATAGTACATGTGGGTAAAAAATTAAACTAATTGAAGTGTCTAATCAGATCATTTATTTAGTTGCTGGGTTAATTTTAAAGATAATCCAGACATAATTTCCACATAAGAATCCGATGTTGCTGGTACTAAGTTGAAAGTGGTGGATATAAATGTTTATATGTTTATTTGTTAATCAACAATTACTATAAAGTAACCAACTGTAAGTTTTTGACCTTTAAAATTCAGCATTTTGTGTCATACATATCTATAAACGTTATGATTGTACATCAAGTCTCCGTAGATGATGATATTGTGTTAGTAAGCTCGTAATGAATGTGGAAACGACTTTAAAAGAATAAAAACTTAAACCTTTCATTCATATCAGTTGATTTAACCGTTCCATATACTATTCAGGTTATTCAATATGTTGCAACTTCTCCGAAATTATGGAAGTGAATATAACCATGAATACTTTTGCAGATGTATATACTTGCCATGAAACAGATTACTACAAACAAGGTGTTTAATAGGTTGTAATGATTGATGGAATGATCTATACATCAGTTAACTATTTCTGTAAAATTTTAGTGCATACAATATACATACCACGGTAATTTTCAATAAATTACAATAATAACCAACAATTTTTTATCTCAACTTATTGCTTGTGGATACATTAAAATGAGAAATGGATTCTTCATAAACACCCATAGATTTGTACAGTTTAAAAAATATCGACTTTAATATTACGAGAAGACTATATAAATAAAATAACAGTTCGAAGATAAATGCGTTAATGAAATCAATATTATCCGAAGGGGTTTGTGGAGATCTTAGAAATTTCACAGATTGAAACCATGAGTCAATTGAAGCTAGACCACCATGGAAAACCTAGGAGAACTGGACGGCCGTTTCGTCCTAGTATGAGACTCCTCAGCGGTGCGCATCCACGATCCCGCACCCCGCGAGATTCGAACCCAGGACCTATCAGTCTCGCACCAGGCGCTTCGTGGATTGGTTGAAGTTAGACGTTAACACCATTGGATGCCGGCTTAGTGGTCTAGTTGGTTTTCCATGGTGGTCTAGCTTCAATTGACTCATGGTTTCAATCTGTGAAATCAATATTATTTGAAGATAATTTAAACAAAATAAATTACTATTAAAAACCTAAAAGCACTGAACGGCCGTCTCGTCCTAGTGTGAGTCTTCTCAACAGTGCGCATCTACAATCCCGAATGCGGGATTCAAACCCAGGTTTTCAGTGGTGGTCTAAGATTCACCGTATCACGATCTCAATCAAAAACTTAACAATTTTCACAAACATACAGTGATTATTACTAAAAATTATGTATCACCAATATTTTCAGAGTATAAGACTAAAATTGTGGTTGTACAATCAGTGAAACAAACGATTCTGTAAAAATGTCATAAAAAGTTACTTACTAAACATAAAAACTTATGACGATTAGTTTGACAAACTAATTAGTACACCAGGTCAAATTATTAATCAGTGTGTTCATGACTTTACAACAAAACACTTTAGACTTAACCTTCTACAATATAAATATGCATAAATTTCAAAAATTCAAACTTCAGACTTAAACAGTATGATATTCTAATGAATTTGCCCAAAAATAATCGTTTTCTGCGTGAACAAGCTACTGTCATAAGTATTGTAATCTGTAGAATAGTTAATACTCCAACCGAACAGGAGCACAGACAAAGACCAATAGTCTTAAGCCATCGCTTTAAAAATTATTTGCCATTGTGTGAAAATATCACACTTTAATTCATATAAAATGAAAATCTATTGAAGTACTCAGTTTGTACAAGCTGTCAAAACTAACAGAATTTCACAGGTGTATGGTTTCTAAATAAAACATTTCTTCATTTCTCTAATTTACTGCCTAGAGACGAAACAAACAATAACAGACTGTTACTCTTCGTTCTAAGTAGTTTTATGGTAGTTAGAATACTCAACCGTTGATAAAATGGTCTATATACTTACTGCTCTTCAAGATCATTCTGGACAACCAGGTAATATTAGTAGTCCCCACAAAACCAGTGACTTAGAACATAAGCCTGTACTTGGTAAATGAGTTACACTAATTTATACACATTTTTAAGTGGATTACATAAGTTTAACAGCAATATCGGTAATCAAATAACAACCTGAATTTAAAAAGTATATTTCCAGTTTTTCAAAAGGGGTTAATATGGTAATCAAATAAATTTTGATAAATATATGTCCTATTTTTTTCTGTAAAACAATAGTCACTTCTCTATATAGTTACAACAAAATTTGAAAATTACACAGCAAAATACAATCAGTACTCCATACATACATATATATATGTATATTTTTATTCTGAAAATCAGGTCATGAAACCCACTGATGAAGATATTCAAAGACGTTGCAGCTTGAATGCTATAGGTGATCTGCTGGTGAGCTAATTAAGTGAAACAAAGTTAAATTAATACTAACATTCATAGTGTAGTAATAAAAAGAAATACATTAAGTTAACATACAATGCACACCTACAGTAATATTTGTATACGATGTTGTGAACTTTAGTTGCTGTACATATAAACGTATATGTATATTGATTTTTATCTAATTTCCTTCAAATATCGTTATTGTTTTCTTGTCCATTTACTTAATGGTCAATAATAATCACTAATAATATTCCTTTTTATTGATTTAGAACATTTTCATTTTCACAACAAGTTGTCTAATATATGTTTTACAATCATTATTCTTTCACACTTCTTTTCAGTTTAGCATAGTTTGTTTAATTAAAATAATAATTGTTTGTGTATATGTTATGCAATTGTGAAACAAATTAACTAAAATCCATTTATTTAGATTAATTTTCTTTTTCCCAGTTCCATTTTACAAATATCGTAATGTTAAAAAAACAAAGCAAAAATCTATCATAAATCCAGAGTATTAGTTCACTGAACTTAACCAACCGAAACTAAATTCACTAGTTTACTTATTCAATTTTAATAAATTTGCTGCAACGTGTGAGTTTCTGTCTTATTCTCAACTTGATTGACTAAACAAGTTGTAGCTTCATTAATAAACCTTCAAAAATCTATCTAATGAGAAAAATTATTTGTTGATTCCTCACGTTAAGATTAACAGATTGTCTCGATATTCCTAACAGAGTTCGAGAACAAAATACATAATATTCCTAAATAGATTGGTTGTATGAATCTTTAGGTATCACTACAAAGGGTTGACTTGGTAATTTCAAATGAAATGAGCATTGGATGGATTGTTATAAATAAAAATAATTTATTTGTAATATCCTAACCAGTATCAAAATTAAATTTTCTGACATTTCGTAACTCAGTGTAAGCCACTTCTTAAAAGAATAAATAAAAATCAAATTAATCCAAGTTTAAATAGTATGAAGGAACAAATCACAAATATTTGGTGCTATCAATCAAAAATCAGGTCCGACCTAGTAAATGTCATATTACTCCGATCGAGGGATTTATGTGATTATGAACTGTTTCTTGATTAATTTTCTAATTAGCTCATTAACACCTTTGAAGGGAACAGTGTTAATTTTTGTACTGATTAGGTAAATTCAGTTTTTCACTAACTTATAAGATGTACTTCATCAGAACTATACTCAGTGACATAACTTGTTTGCTAGTTAAATTAAGAACTACATCCTGTAAGATCAAGCGTATTGAGATAATTAACATGAGTAATATTCAACATAACAAACTATCACTTAGTTTCATTGTAATACAGTATGTCATGACTGACAAAATTTAACTTATACAATTGATCATATTAATCATTGCGCTGATGCAGTGAAGTAGTAAATGGGTTTAATACTAATATAGTATGAAGATGTCTGATGTGTGTGTTTATGAACAGTTTAGTGATGATTCTTAGCTTAGCAATTAAACACATGTAGATGAAGGAGTACTTAAATCGTTCAAGCTTTTAGAAGTCCTATTTTTTCACCAAAAAAATTATGACTGTTTTGAAATCTACAATACCAGCTTAGTGTAAGTTAATAGTTAGCATACATGATACCATATCAACTCCTACTTATTACACTAGGCAAAGTCAGACTGTAAAAATTGTCTTTTACTTACTTTGTCTTATTAGTTAACAGTATAACTAAATACTAAACAATTTAAAATAGTCCCATACACTACTGTTCACTGTATATAAGTAATCAAATTTCAATGTTAAATTAGGACATCAATTCATTTCAATTGAACACTTCTAAGTACTTATAATTTTCTTTACATTTTGTTTTTAACTTCTAATTAGGTATCAACATTCAAGAAAGTTTTGTGAAATATTTACTAAAAAGAAGACGCTTTTTATCAAAATTATAATATTGTTATTATTGTTTTATTATCAGATTTATATTTATGTTCATTATTTTGATGTGTATTCAACTTCACTTTTAACTTCATGTTAACAAGTTATGTATAAAAATAATAAAAGAAAAGAAAACGATTCAATGTTCAATAATCTTCCAGTGAACTATCTTTTATTGTCTATTTAATAAATTGTAAAAATTTGAATTCAGTAACTGGGAAGAAATAATGTTCCGTATAACATATTTTTGTTTTCTTTAAAAAGTAAGTGAACTTTTTTCAAATATTCCTAAACATTCAAAAATAATTCCACTTAAATTTTGGAAAAAATAAATCGATGTGACAAAAACTTTACTCTTTTTTTGTTCGTTAAGTAACACAACTTTATATGAATACTTGTATGAAGAAAAAAAGTTTGTTAGATGTTTAAAATTTAAGGATCTTGAGTTATATAGTTGTTAGTGTACAACTTAAGTGTTCAAATCTTGATTCATACACTTCAGTTAAAGTATCAGAATAATTTTTGTTTAATTACAATAAAGAAGAGAAATGTGCAGGGTTACGGTAAATCTGGCAACCACTATTATTAGTAGTATTAGGAAGAAGAAATCTAACCGTACGAAAATGAGTTCCCCAATATGATTCATTCATTTTTGTCTCTCAGCTTATTTATTTCAAACAGCCAAGGATAATGTAGATAAATAAGCATAAATATGCTTATATATTTATAGGAATTTCATATGAATGAAAGAAAACTATAGGCATTATCTGGATTTATATAACATAACAAATATAGTCACAATGATACATAAAATAGGCGCATAAGTTTTGAACTTTGCATCAATTTACATAACAATTTGTCATGTAGATTTACGATAACGACTGTAACTTTCAATTATTGTTTATTACATCCCAAACGTATAAAGCTGCTTCAAATTCATAACAAACCAGGAAGCACTGGATAGTTGTTTCGCTACAACTTGATTCACATAGTTCATTGGACCTACGTTATCTGGGACAGCGTGGAAGTTTTCTATCACCAACGCGGGATCTAGTGTCCACATTTTTTAAAATCAAACAACTTGTGACCTTGAATTAAAATATTTGATGGATAACTACCTCATTCAGAACTTTTTTGACGCAAATGACCAAACATTAGATTAAAATTTCGGGAAATTTAAAGTAGTTACTAGTATTTATACGTAGTATTTTACCGAGTGCGAATAGTATAACTTTGAGACGACCAGTGCTGACAAAATATTTGAAAATACGCTTGTACTATGAATTTTTATCAAATGTGCATTAGCAGATTGTGAAGAGAAGACTACAATGAGGAAAACAATGGATTACTGGACGAGTAATTCAGCTTTTCTTCGCATCTTTGAATGGGTATGGTTTGAAATCATAATATAAATAGGTCATTTGAAAATTACGTAACACAAGCACTTAATTTATTCGCTTCTGACAGTTGATGGATGCAAAGATTACTCCAGTATTGATAATAAAAAAAATCTGTCAGCTCAGATGACTAGAACTATGGTACTACTTTGAATACTGCACACATACTAAAGGCTAACAATAAACACATCCTTGGCGATATACATAGCTAGTTAAAAAAGGCATCGAGATAGTGATGATGTCTTAATTGCACATTTATCTTTAATTTATATGGCTTTTTAACTTATCATAATCGCCAAAATTATTGTGACAAATTTCTCCTATTTCGGATTAAATCTTATCACATTTTCTTAGTATTCAGAACACGAATGACACGGAATTTACCATTTAAATTTACAAGACGGACTAGCTCAAACACGATTTCATAAGCTTCCCCTAATATACTGTGCCATCACAGTGTATAGGAATGAATAGCTGCAGATATTGTAGAAGTCATTACGAACGATTGTTAGCGCAGGTATTCTTACTTTTTGAATTTGCTATGAGGGTTCTCAAATTTAGAAAATTTATCTACGTTCAAAACATTTTAATGAGAGGAGTTGTACTACTTTGGTTATTGTCAGTAGTCTGGTAGTATTGATTTAGATCTCACACGAATAGCTAGCAGGTATTAATACATGTTCAAAGCCTATATGAGAAGAGAAAATTTCTAAGCCTTAGCTGACAGACTGAAGGTAATTTCATGAATCGTTTAGAATAAATCTAATAGAAAAGTATTCACAATTTCCCGACATCTGCTTTATTAATTTTTTTTAAGAATAATAGGTTTATGAGATAATCTTAACATTGGTACAGTATAGAATTATCAAGATAAATTGCGCATTATTATAGCAAGTATCTACTTAACACATATTCAAACCTTAATCATTCGAAATATATCCTGGAAATACTTTTAATAGTCAGTATGTTTCACTCGCACCCAATTATCAGTTTTCCACCAGTTCAGCTGCAATAACCATTTCCATTTATAGAAAGTATTAGTGAGATAATCAAGTCTTGATACTGTTAAATTATAAAATAGCTTTTTCAAGACGCTAGATGTTATTCTCACGTAAAGATTTGGCTTTAGGTTTCTTTTAATGAACAAGGAAGAGTAGCCATCTTCAGTGAGCATTCGCCATATTTTACGCCACTTGAACGTGTAGAAGCCCAAAGTCGCAAATCAGAAGACATGATTCAAGGTAAGTGATCATTCGGTAAAAATCAGGAATGTACAGAAAAACGTGGGTATTTATAGTTATTAGCATTGGCTATGACATCATTATAATTCAGCCAATCAGCAAGGAGGTAATTTATGCTACCGTCTAATAGTAGCATGCCACGTTGATAATCTAGAAAGCTCTGATTGGATGGAGACACTTCGGCTTCTTTAGAGCTTCTGGAGGCCTCATCGTGCTTCCCGAAGACGTCTCAATAAACACCTCTACTCCCCTAGCCACTACAAATGAATAAACTTGTTAAGATTTATTGGACAAGACCAAAAAAGATTCAGCTTACATTCAATCTAATTCAGTGATTACTAACTACCAAGATTTATCGTAGTGAGATAACCAATACAAGAGAAATGTGTTGAGAACTAAGTAACTAACAACGACTGATAAACAATGGTCGTAAAGATGCATCGTAAATCGTTCTCGTTTGTCGTATTTGAGAGTATTATCACCAACGGGTTGCACAAACAACTTTAGTCAATTTACAATGATATTGAACCTATCATGAAGATTGATTCCCATAAAATTAAAAGTATTTGTGTATATCCTAGTTAATTTAATAAACGTATACTTTAGTATCGGATTTTATGTAATAGTATGGATGATGCCATATATGTTATCTGAAATGATAATCCAAAAGCATAGCTATTTATCCTTCCAAAGGAATGTTTTAAATTTCAAGAGAAAAATCAACCCTGGAGTGTAGATGAACCTAGCTGACGAGTCTCAATAAGGACGAGACGTGTTTCCTACATTCTACTGCTAGCCACAATCCAAATACACCAAGATCTCTGAATCTTACATTACTTTAAGTTTTCAAGTGTTTCATAAAATTTTTCTCGTTGGATATGACTAAACCGTCAATAGACGTTTCTCATAAAAAATATTTTTACTTGCTGACAACGCGTAATATTATCTAGGAATCGCTTCATAAATTAGTTGAAATGTTTATTAATCAATAAACATATGAAAAAGTACATATTTTTCAGTACAATTCAGTTCAGAATAAAATGTCGCTAAGCATAAAACTTCTACTAGAAACTGACAGCTACCGAAAAAAAACCCAGGGAGAATTAAATACCAGAGTATTGTCGCCTGCGACCACTCACACCACTGAATCCATAACTGTCAAGTGCCGCGACGAGGATGATGATACTAACCGATTAAATCCCAAACCAACAGTCTACATTTCAAACTTTTTGAGCATGTGATTCTCAGTTCATTGTGAGAATGAGGCAACTAGATAAGCATCAATTAGTGTGATCCACCCAACATTTCGAATGGTGTCATGAGTGTATATATGAAGACTGCATGATATACTTTTATCAAAATCAAAGGGGTATAGAATTACTATTTCTAATGAAGTTTTGGTTAGTTACATCTAAATGTAGACGCTAAATAACTGTTTACTTGCTTCGAAACCGAGAGTAATAACAGTACACGGTATGAGTATTGTAAGATTATCAAAGCTTTTGTTTGACTGGACTAAAATTATGTATGTAGTCCCTGGTTTACTTGTCACACATACCCCATATTTACTGTCATAGATTATCTAATACTGAGATGTTTTTCTTTAGTTATTCTGTGGTCGAATCATGTTCTGCAGAGATTAAAATAGGCACAGAGTTGATTTGGTGAATAACCTCATCCAGTGTTAATGAAAACATGATCGAGTAACTAATTTAAACCTTAAATATCCGATTTATGGTTGTGGTAAAACCAAAGATTATGCCATGACCACTTGACTTTTAGCTAACGATCAGTATGTACCGTCTACATTCGCTATATATTTAGTTCATTAATTCTATATACAAGAGTTGATTAAAGCTAGACCACCATGGAAAACCTAGAAGCATTGGCCGGCCGTCTCGTCCTTGTATGAGATTCCTCAGGAGTGAGTATCCTCGATCCCACGTGCGGGACTCGGATCCAGGACCTTCGGTCTCACGGACGAACGCTTAACCTATAGACCACTGAACCGGCATCCAATGGTGCTAATGTTTAACTTCAACCAATCTACGATAATGCGAGACCGTCCACCAATGTTCTCAGTGAGTAACTGCCTCTACAACAGACACGGTCGAACTCCCGCGAGACCGAAGGTCCTGGGTTCGAGTCCTGCACGGGGGATCGTGGATGCGCACTACTGAGTCCCATACTAGGACAAAAAGGACTTCCAATGCTTTCAGGTTTTTCATGCTGGTCTAGCTTTAATCGACTCATTAATTCAACTATTAAAAATTACCACGATATCCACAAACCCCCCATTCTGATTATTGTATACACAATCGGGGTCTGAGAGACGGTGCTACACAGTGGCTAGAGACGTTATCAGATATGGCTCAGAATAGAAGCCAGTGGCGATCCTGCTGTAACATTCTTTTACTTTCTTCATAAAAAGTGGTTGTGTCTCCCTTACCTGAAAGATTCCTTCTGATTGTACCTTTCCGTTCCCTTGTTACTACCACACTACCTTACACCAATCTCTTCGTTATCGTTCTCTTTTTCTTTTGTGCTCCTTAGTTTTTTTTTCTATCTCTTTTCGAATTTTCATTGTTTTGTGTGGCGCATATATATCGGCGCTCTCTTGTACCAATATTTATGTGTTCAAATAAATAAATATACAATCACTTAATTAAATTTAAAACTAATATGAATGAACAAGTTTATTATTTCAATGTAGATTAATTAGAAATCATTTTGATTTGCATGAAACAAATTTAAATGCTGAAAGATGGTTCCAAATATTTCTTTTTACTAAAAGCTTATTATCAGTAATAAACTAGGTAAGTAGGTTGTGAATGTATGAACATTTTCATAATTTCAAGGAATTATGTGGATCATATCGTTCAATCGTTCTCTATTTGACAACAGTTTTTAATGAAAATACCCTACTAATTGTATAAAACCTCAACAAAGATCAGTAATTTGAGATTTGATATTAGTGCCATACCCTTACCTTCTTTGTGAAGTCATGTAAGTAGCGAATGAAGACAGATTTTCACCAGCCACTAGTGGTTACGATACGCATTTACATTAGAATGTGAAAACCATTGTATCCCAATCCATTGGGTGATCCGTTTCTAAACGCATTCTACATCTAGTGCTTCACTTCTGTTCGTTACTCATTAATTCCTAGTGGATTTTCAGTTGAAATAGGTCTATTACTCAAACTATTTTAAACCGGATTTACTCTACCCATGCACTCTAACCAATCAGATGGCCTTTGATTTATTCTCACTGGTGATGAACACTATTTCATGTGTACTAGTCACACAATAAATATGTGGTTGTGTGAAGCGATGGCCACAAGTAGTCGCTTTGTGGAATAAAACTTAAAGACAGCGACTTAATTGGTGGAAATAGTCATCTCAATAAAAATCGAGTTCGCAAGGTGATCGGTTATAGATGCAGACTTAAAAGAAAACTAGTAAAGCGACCAAACAACTGCTTAAAACAATAGAATAATCAACGCTAAACCCAAACACACCTTTCCTAACTTAAGTATAACGTACTGTTACCACTAGATGTTAATAATCTTTCGGAGAATAAGATAATTGAACACAACGAGTCATCCACATTCCCAGCTTGGAGAGGACAGTCTTTACAACCACGTGGTGAGACTGCTTTCGCTAAGACACCGTAGGCCCGGACTTTTATAGTCTGACCAACAGTAAAATGGCGCCAACGATAGCCGCGATTCCCATAGACCGCCTTAGCTTTCACTGTATATAGATTGATCTCTTATGTAGCGTCGCCACCAACATATAAAACTACTCAGATACATGGACCTTTTAACTACTTAGAACGGACCACCCCAAATAGTGAGTGTACACAGGCTGGTTATAATAAATCTATAAGCTAACCACAATATTACTTTTAATTTCTTGTAACAGTCTTTAATTTACACGAATGTTAAAAGAAAAGAAGCAATTAAATAATAGAAGTTAAGTATAAAAAGAAATTTTTCTACTTTGAAGAGCATATTAGGTATATATATATATATATATATATATATATATATATATATATATATATATATATATATATATATATATATATCTTGTTGAGTATTCACTGGCCAGAATGCAATGTCCGATTGAAGGCATTATATCCAGAGTCTAAATCAAAAAGCATCTGTCGTACTTCAGCTTCAGATAATTCATCAGACGCTTGCATTTGATCCATTTTGTCTAGCCTAATGAAAGGCAAACAATAAATGAAAACCTATTTTAGAAACCATTTTTTAAGATTTATTCAGTAAACTGTGTACTATATATTTGAAATTACTTAAGATACTAGCTTCAAGTACAGACAAAAGTCTATACAACCAATCATATATATTTCAAGCCACTTTAACTCTGAATCACAAACATATAGTAAACATGTTTTAAAAGTGTGATATTTCCGTAGCTAAATATACAATGAGTGAAGATTATCAGGAAACTCGATGAGTAAAAAGTTGGAGTGAAGATAATTTCAAACATTAGGTTGATCCAGATTTGGTTGACAGATCGACTGAATAAATGGGAATGACTAAAGGGAATATGGTCAATTAGCTATTATAATCTATTTTTATTCACAGTAGATCATGGATTCGAATCCCCTAACAGACAGGAGTAGAAATAGCATCTATGGCTTTTAGACATATGACTTACACTTAACATAATAATGGATGTCAAATATTGTCACTTCCAAATTTTTTTACAATCTGATAAATTAAACTTACCAGGCTTTCACTCTATCTTTACCCTCAAAATCTGCAGGTAGAATACTCAACCGATAAAGAGTTTCATACAATTCTCGAAGATCTGGATGGAGCTGTAAGAAAACTTATCAATATCAGAATAGTACTACTTCATCCACTGCGCGAATATCTAGTCGCAGCTTATCCATAATAGTAATAAACAACTAGAACAAAAAACAAAATAGGAATAATACAATATAAATTTCAGGATAAACGTTAAGAAACCTAAAGCAATAAATACGACACTTCTTAACTGAATATTTACAACAACAAAGATTATTCTAAGTAAACATGTTTGAGTATGTAATTCATTTACTGTCCGAATATTTATCGTAAAAATGAATATCAGAAATAGGAGTGGCTGGTTTAGGCAATTTATCTTTTTGTACCCATCAATTCAGCCGCTTTTGTGAAGGAAGTTACATCTGTAGATATTCTAAGGATTAAGTTTACCGTCCTCGCAAACATCTTGCAGTGTGGCTAGACAAAGGTGCAGTTGAAACGATCAACAGCCCGATTTTAGCGCATTTCTTTTAGACGAATCGAACAACTAGTATGAATCAATCAGTTTCAGTAATTTATCAAGTTAATTATCTGCGAAAATCCGTCAGACTCAAAGTCTTCCAGACGAAAAAACGCAACAGCTATTCAGATTAAAAACTAGAACTTCGTGTACAAAATAAATATGTCTAATCGCTCCTTTGCATCGGTTAACTTCAGATCCAATAAGTCAGAAGTCATCTTGATTACAGGATGACTTAACCGGACTAATTTACATGTAACTTCCCCCTTTGTATATTCACAGCTTAAATTTACAATATCCAAATATTATTGCTATTATTACTTATACATCTTTTTTATCGCCATTACTATTATTATTATTATTTTACTGGGATTATTATCCAAGTCCTTACACAAATTGAATGACTTATGTGGCGTATATTTGTTTGGTACCGCCTTGTACTAATGTTTGTGTTTAAATAAATTAGGGTGAAATTATTATTAATTTTGTAAACACATTGAGAAGTTAATTACTATTTAGCCCACTCTATAATTCCCTACTAAATTCACGGTAAGTAGCCTACGACTAAGCATTTGGTCTGATTGGTAGTTATAGTATTTGTTTAACTCTGTTACCTATATTTATTCTGATTATTATTCTGATCATTTCAACGGACCTATAAACTGATTCGAGTTAACATTACAAACTAGTTATTTCAACACTAACAATTTTATTTTATTTTACTAACAATCCTCAATCTATGTGTTGCAATTTTAAATGATTTGTTTGCCATAGACTTGGTTATCCTCCTTGTAAGACTAATTTGAACTTATAATTATGAAACCTTATGAAAATTTATTGGAAAGAAACTCTTAGGTTAGTTCATATAGCCAGATTTTGATAAAAGTGGGAACTTTAAACAATTATAAATGGAAATAGAAATCAGTAATTACGTATATTGTCATATTAGATTATGAAATAAACAGCCTTATGACACTAGAAGAATTAAAATTTCGATAATTTATATTGATAAGCTGTTTAGTGCACAAATCGGTGACAAAAGATGAAAAAATCTATATAAGTAGAATCATAAAAAACAATCATCACATAGTAAGTTATCACAACAAACATTATTTTCTTCAGTGTTTCTACAAAGAAGACCACTCAGATTACTTCTTAGGGATAAATCTCAGTAAAGCACTATTGACATAGTCAATATGAAACCTAACGATAGTTACGTTCCAAACTTATTTACTAATCAAAATTAACTTACAGAAACAGTATCAGCAATACTTTTATTTATATTTTGTTTATCATCCTTGATAGTTATCGGTCTTCCCTCCTTAATACGCTCTAGAGCTGCTGGACAATCCATCTAAAATGTAAATGAAACAAATTCTTGCAATTGACAAACTTTATATTTTCGCATGAAATCCTCTACAGTAGCAAATTCATCTCCTTGAACTTGTTTAAATGCAGCTTTGTATTGGACAAGAAGCTTTGAACAGGCAGCAGTATACCTAAGTTATTAGGAGCATAATAAGAGCTTAGTTAACTCAACTCTTTTGATTCCACATAGTCTTTAATATATGCTTTTTGTAAACATTGTATGGTGTTGATAACAGCATAGAGTTCAGCAAGATTGTCATACCTAAAAATTTCTCGACTCTTACTTGGAACTTACTTTTCTCTTTCGCGTGCAGAACGATAAAGTTTTACTTCCTAAATCAGAAATAAAAACAATTTGAATACTGACATACTTCGTACAATTCGACACGGCCATCCACTAAAAAAGGGGAAAAAATAACTTGTTATTTAGCTGTGTCGAAAACACTAAAACAGATCCTAATCAAATGAAATGATGAAAATCATGTTTAAATTGGTGCTTAATTTTAGGTAACTCATGAAATTAGAATGTTATATACTAACCCTCAGGTCAAATGATGTGCGGCTTGTCCCCTAAAAATTTAGCCTGCTTCAGTTTGTGCCTTCCAGCAACATCCCATCACACACAAATTTGACAATAGCTAACAAAGAAACTGTTCTACTCGCTGTTTTACCATCCATTCATACGATATTTAGAATCAATTTATCACACACAACTTAATTTTCAACTATTTCAACTTTCTATCACGTTTCATTTCAATGGTATATACATTCACCTACAAAAATCTTATTATCAGACTCACTCAGAAGTTCATTCTTGTTGAACCTCGTTCTCTCCAATCGGTCTCAAGTCGGTAAATGATTGATCTTTTTAATATTGTCATCGAATGCAATGACTGATACAGATTTTCTGAAGCCATGCGTTTATCTTATCCCGCCGAAACCAATATTCACACTGTGATGTAGATCCAGGGCCTCAAAGGAACTGGCGTGTTGGTGTGGAACTACGTCTTATATCGTGGACATTATCAATGAACTGCATTTCTGTTAAGTCATGCGCTGCTAATCTAGAAGGTCCAAAACAGGAAAAAACTACCATGATAAACCTCTTTTATGTAACGCCTGCCTACTCACTGACGGATCGAGCTTCAGACCCAATAAAGAATGAGTTTTGCTAATAATTAAACGATCCCAATAGGGCGCGTTCGAAAAATATTTTGGTGCTAGATAAGGACTTGTATTTGCAGACAGAAATAAGTCTTTGGATAACAAGTGGGATAAAGGGCATCGTCTACTGAAGCCATGTATATATCAGAACCTGTTTTAGTCAGAACTAACATCTGTTACAGTCACTGACGATTTGCTATTGGCATTTTTGCTGCGAGGCTTAAATCTGGACTTAAACTGATCATACTGCATTTAGCACTGGATGGGCTGCATATATGTGGGAGTGCTATTTCTTAGAGCACCTATTCAGATTTTGGTCATGTCTATGCGTGTCAAGCTTATCTTGAGTCTTCTTGAAAAAAACCTCGAAGCGGATCGATACATACAAAATGAGGCATCTTTCATTGTAACTGAACATCAAAACGATCTAGATTCAAGGCTAGCAACCACCTCATCGACAACTGAGGACGACCACTAACTACACTTTCATGAAAATGGTGAGAAAATTCATCTGTGGTTTGACAAACACTAGGTTACTGTAGGTTCCTTGAAACTTTTGGAGGCACACTAGTCTGATCTGTTGAATTGTGAGTTTAACAGCAGGAACATACCTCAGAAAGTTTTAAGAAACTTGATTACAGTTTGATTTATCTAGTGATCAGAATGTGTTAGCAAGTTTCATCCGTTATCTGACAAAGATATTTCAACATACATAAGCCACAAGCAGAAAGAAGTACGCTGACAATAAAATAACCTGTTAAGTTGATGGTACTCCAGTCATTAACCTCTAAAGACGTTTGGATATCGAGTAGAGCACTCTGGAAAATAGTTTGACCGCCTTAATAATTTAAAACCTCAATCAGTTCGCTTTGTGTTCTTTAGTCCATGAAGATCAATCCAGGTATCCGTAAAGAACCTCTACTCCTAAAAAGTCACAAGTTACCGATCTAAAACAACAACCCCCCTCTCCTTTTCTAAGAAGAAGTGAAAATCCTGGTCAGAGAACTGACTAAAATGTTTGAAAACAACTAGTGTACAAAGCGTTTCACATCATTCTGGAATAAACAGATCGTGATTCCGATCTTGGAAAATGTCACACGTAAGTTATGCGGCAATTATCAGAGTACAGGTCTGCTCACTGCTTCAAAACTGATGACTTCCACCATACTCCACAGATTGTCCAAGACTCACCAGGCTGCATGGTAAGGAGCAGGTATGAAACTGTTTGTACCTATCACCATTGAATTGCACCATCCCTAGAATCTCATCCAGGTAGTTGTGATGGACGAAAGGATGCCAGTCCTATATTTTCTTGTGCTACGACGCTATGTTACCTACAGGTCACTAATTCGATTTTTTCACAAAGTCCAAAAGTTGAAAATTAATGTACAATGTGGAGACATTTGGGATGACATTTATAACATGTTCAAGCCATCGAAGTCAGTATTCCAAGATGGTAACATTTAGTAATCAACACTAAACCCAAACACAAATTTCCTAACTTCCGTATAACTAACATACTGTTACCACTGGATGACACAAAGAGTCACCACATCTCCAGCTTGGAGAGGCCAGCTTTTAAAACTACGTGGCGTAACTGCTTTCGCTAAGACATCGTAGACCTGGACTTTTACAGTCTGACCAACAGCAAGACGACACCAAAGTTAGCCCCAATTTTCATAGACGGCCAGGAAACAGATCCACAACAACGTATACTTTCCTTAGGGCTGATGTCAGACTATCGCTAGTGATCTTATTCCGTGAATCATACTAACTAATAAACCCTATAGGAATAAACTAGGATACCAATGTATGTCTTACGAAAAGTACTCTGCTTATAAGCAGAAATACATTTTGAATTGCTTAGCACGCATCCCAAAGAGTGAAATTTTCACTTTATAATCCTACGAGATGGGTGAGAATGATAAAAAGTTAGAAAGTTAGTTACAATCTCAATATAGCAATAGTGATGGTGGAGTTTGAATAAATTCAGGACGACGATTTGGAAATCGGGGTAATGAGTCTTTTTGATTGAGAAATGAAGTCATCTAGTCGACAATAGAACAAAACCAACTGCATACTATGAATAAATCCTGTTAAAAATCTGAACCTCAAACTTACTTATAAATATATGAAGTACCGCACACACTAAGCTTGTGATCTCACGAAAATTCAACGTCCAATATCTTCGTCACAAGCCTGTATAAACCTAACGATTTCCTTGTTTTCGCTTGTTATTATTAATTCGGTTCTGTTCCAGGTACTTTTTATGTTTGATGCGTGGTAGTCTAGCCATCTGAATGCCTTAATTCTAGTCGTTTTGATACATATTTGCTGATCTGTATACCTTGTAGCTGGTTGAGCGCATGTAGCGGCAAACAAATTCCTAAATAAATAGTTCAATGCTGACCGCATTAGTCTTGACGAACCTACCCAGCTGAACGCTATCGGTCATGCACCCGTTAGGAATGGGTACGCCAGGATATTGACTCCTTTCAACCGTTAACCAGCTTAGATCAAACGCTTCTCCAGATTTCGGTAGCCTTTCAAATATAACTTCAAGCCTTTTCACCTATGACTTCTGATTTGAATGGGTTGACATAATTTTGTCATAAAGGTGTTACTGGTTGAAGCGTTGTCAAACTCCAAATACTTGTGGCAATTTAATGCGACTTTATGTGGACACTAATAGGTATTATCAGGCAGGAAGTCGGTTGGTTGCAATGTCAAAACAATATAGTGATAACTTAAGTGCTGAGAGATAATTGTTTCACTAATAAATAAACAATCTACCTAATTGATACTATATAAGCAGACGGAATTGAAAGAATGAGAGGGGGGCGGAGGTGAGAAACATAGGAAGTAGTTAGTGGTTTGCAGTAATGATGACTGTCATAATTTACGAGACAGGCACCACAAACAGCTGGTCCAAGAAGATGGTAACCTGTGCATGTGTTTGTCAAGTTTCTTCTCTAAGCTCTTCACTAATAGGATTGTGGTGACATTGGCTGGCGTAACATTGCAAATTGGGGTAGCTTTTATTTAAAAAAGTGAGCACGTGCATATGTGCTTACCATTTGATTTGCAATCTTTCAAGGGTTGCTTTGAAGGGCGTGGTGATGACATTCTGTTGATGTGTTCATGTTGGGATGGCTTGCCGTACTTAATATGTTGTATGTCATTATCAGATCACCTCTTATTTTCCTAAAGCTCAACAAGAACATTCCAAAATGTTGGATCCTGTCCTCGTGAGACTTATGTTTTAGACTTATCAGTCACTGGGTTGAGCGTCTCTGTACTTGGTCTCAACGGTTTGTCTCTCTTTTGAATACAGTGGTACAAAAACATTATGGACGTCGAGGTGGACCTGTGTGTATATTGTAAATACACTGGAGTAACTGAGCCAAGTTGTTTCCGCATAAAGTGGATATTAGCATTTGCTTTAGCTGCATCCACCAAATCGTTTGATCTGGTGTTTAAGTTCTCTGTGGTTACATGACTGAGATCACGCTTTCAGGGGAAATGAAGAGCGGATTCTCATGGAGAGTGTTTTGTGTCAAACGAGTCAGAATGTTCATGACATGACATTTAGACAGGTTGTTTTAATCAAGTGCCTAATACTTCTTCCTCTATTATTGTAAGGTTCACTTGGAGCTCAAGTGCATCCTGTTCATTTTTTATGGACCTCCGGATCTTTGAATCGTCCACTGGGCCACTTTTATCGAACAGATTGTTAGTAAAGATTAAAAATAGGAATGGCCCCAAGATGTTTCTTTTCCAAACTCCTAGTAACGACCGAACTTCCAGTATTCGGTTTGAACGCAGGACTGACGAACCAAAATGTATTCGAACAGACCAGACTACGTTCTTCTGCATAGCTTAACAAGCGTCATTTTAAACGGTTCTAATTTGGGAAATAGAACAAATTATATCAAAAATACAAAATACCTCAAACGGTATACCCTGTGCTATACAGTCAGAAGTTTCTCCAACGTAAATTAGCGCGCTAAACAATAAAAGAAACGGTTAATACAAAAGGGTTCGATACCTGAGAATCAGTAAAATATTCCCAACAAGATTGGATCAAATATCTATCTGCGGGAATTCCAGCGATCCTCCCAAACTGGTAGTCAAAAGGTTAACAGCCACAAACTGAACCACGCCACGACCTTGGGCTTAGTCAAACGCGGCCTTACTGTCCATAGTCCGGCAGCACGCAATAGAAAACTAGGTATTAGAAGATAAGTCTTTAATTTAGTGAACATTTTTGCTTCTCACTAACTAACGAAAATCCATTTAATGATTCAGAACCAATCTCAGTAACTACCTGTGAAATTACTAATGTAGAATTCAATGTACAAAATATCTCCAAGGCAATCAGTACATTGAAACACTCCTACACTGATGGACCAGATGGTATTCCATCTAGTATGCTAAAACGTGGAGGTGATGATATGTGTGTTTTGTTTCTCAAACTATTCGCGATATCGCTCTCTTCAGCGTGTTACCCTACTACCTGGAAAACTACACACATCATTCCCAAAATTAAAACAGGACCTGAAGCAAACGTTGAAAATTACCGGCCTATAAACATAACTTCAGTGGTATCCAGAGTGATGGAAAAAGTAGTTAAGGCGGCTGTAGTCCAACATCTACTAACTAATAATCTCATCTCGATCTCCCAGCATGGATTTCTTAGGTCCAGATCATGCGATACATGCCTAGTAGATTACCTGAACGATGTAATCTGAAACGAGACAGCGGACTCCCTGTATCAGTCCTATTCCTAGACTTTAAGAAAGCCTTTGATAAGGTCCCACACAAAAGGTTACTCGTCAAACTAAAGTCCTTCGGAATACACAACCCACTGTACTCATGGTTTGCTTAATTCTTAACAGAACGTAAACAGATGGTAAGGTACAATGACTGTCTCTCGTCCCCTAGACCAATCACCAGTGGAGTCATCCAGGGAAGCGTATTAGGTCCACTTTTGTTTCTTATGTATATAAACGATATATGTAACACCATAGAATTTGGGAGACCATATTTATATGCTGATGATCTCAAAATAGTATACAGCTATAAGCCTGAGACACTAAGCGAAAGTGTATCCCAGATCCAGAAGGACCTCAATAACTTAACTATATGGAGTGAAAAATGGCAATTACCATTTAACCTCAACAAGTGCGGGGTCATGCACTTTGGAAAGCATCCCTATAAACCGCAACTTCACTTAAATAAAAGTAGAGTCCAAACACTCGAATCAGTACACGATTTCGGAATTAATTACACAGGAAGCCTGAACTTTGAAGAACATGCCTCCTCTATTATTTCTAAATCTAGACGGCTAATTGGTTTTATAATGAAAAACTTTCACAACAGAGGGTAAACTTACTCTCTACAAAATATGTGTACGACCCTCCCTTGAATACCGCTCTTTTGTCTTCTCTAATATGAATATCACAGACAAGATAAGAGTAGAAGATGTTCAAAGACGATTCACACGTCAACTACTAGGATGTAACTCGAATCTCGATTACGCAGATAGATGTAAGCATCTATCTTTAGAACCTTTATGGCACCGTAGGCTAAAGAACAATTTAATATTTTTTCTACATAGCGATATATGGGCTCTCCTTTCTAACCTCCTTCCCAACCCTCACCCACGACCCAGCCTATAGACTTAGAAACAACGCATATACACTACTTATCGTAAAACACCAAAAACAAATGCGTTGTAAGTTTTTTACAGTACGGTGTAGTTTATTGTGGAACAGGCTTCCAATGCCTATCCGTAACTGTGATACGTTTACCAGATTCAAAAAGCTAATAACACTATTTCTAGATTCCAAAGAGCTTCAACATTTCTTTGAACTCCCGCCCACCAATGAGGCACTTTATTACGGACCGCCTAGTATCTAGAAGGAACAAGATTATAACAAGTTCGACTGTTACTAATATGAATTTAACCAAATCACAGAATATATGGCTTATCCTTTCCTGTTATTCATTGTTTATTAATCATGGCCATATGCTCCTAACCCTAGCTTTCAGTTCCCAAATGTCTACACTTTAAATACAGATAGCTCAATCTTATGGATGCTGATCTACTAAGGCTGATCATACAAAGCTCGAAATTTGGCCACAAAGTCTTGTGAGTTTCTTAATGTTTTATTTGTCTTACCCTGAAATTTTTTTCTACAATCTTTTGATTTGCTATTAGTCTTTACTTCTTTAAACCATTAGTTATTTTCATAGCAGTGTGATATACTATGTGGACATCTAACCCATAAAACAGACTTTTCAACTATCTGATTTGCTTGTGACATGGACATAGTAGAGACAGTGTATTCCAACCATGGGCTTTGATTAAACCAGTATTCATACTTACCACAAACGTAAGAGAGCCTAACGTCACAAAAGGAGGTAGAGTGGCGTTACCGACCACCAAACATGATGGTGGGGAGATAACTTCAATCCACCCATGTCTGTAGGACAGAACATTTTGTTTAATTACGGCTCCTTATGGTTTAGTGGGATGTCACGAACTTATGGTATTGAAGCTGATTTATCACGCAAAATACCTCTTTAAGTCGTGTTACGAATGTTGAATTGGTTTCACCTCCTACCCAGAAATCCTGTTACAAGCAAACTAGACAGTTCGCTAATATACGAAGCCTACTCAAGACCCTATGATACCTGAAAAAAATAGTACAAAAAAATGAAAGGGGATCTAATAGCTTCGATAAAAAAGGAAGGTAGCCAATTGTATATCACAATAATGTTTCTAGCACTATATATTATTTTATAACCACACATAATCCCATACTCTCAGCTCCTTTCTGAATCGCTTCCATTTGTCAGTTGTATGTGCATTTATACCTTGTTAACACTTATTTTCTTTAACCTATTAAAGGGCTCTTACTTAACAAATACCTTAACAAAAAAACCAGACTGAGTAATCACACCTTAAACATTCCTTCATGAATATTGGCTACTCTGCCTCTCGTCCATTCTTTTACTTGCTCCCCTTTTCAGCCCCCTTGTTATATGGTACGAAAGATTTCAGCCTGCACCATCCTCAAAGCCTTAGACATTCCAAAGGGACATAAGGTTGCGACATTTAGCAGTTCCCACCTTTAACGGACCTATCCTCGACCATCAGGTGCACATTTGC